TGTTCAGGTGCAGTAAACATCAATTGTATCAACATAACCTTATGCTCGTGCATAATACAGATTCATACAGACTCTTGAACATGAACTTTTAGAATGCATCTGTAGCATCATGGCAAGTAATGGCTTTCAAAAAGAATTTGATAAGCAAGGCCATGCAAGTGGTTGGCCATTTGGTTCACAGGGGTAAACTGATTGAACTAACAGAGGATGTGGATTTGAAAATCTGCTCAGAGCTTTGATGGTTTAACTTTAACATTAACACTCCTTGCAGATCCTGTTTTGGCAACTGCTGCTTAAATGTGTGGAGCAGAGTGCTGTGCAGTGAGACTGCTGTTGTGTAAATGATGCCCATGATGTTTTCAAAGTGCTTTGAAATGAAAAATTGAAGGAATTGTCTTCTATGTGGCAGAAGGTGCAGAAGGGAAAATGTTTGGGTGCTCGGAAGTCTTCCTGCAAGTTTAATTGGGCTCTGGCAGTCTGCTTCAGCCCCAGGTCACCTCAGCTGTGCTTTCCCCTGGTATTGCTCTTCTTTTCCTACTTTTTTTTTTTTGTCATTTAACTTCTTAACTTTCTATGTCTTGTAGGTAAATTCCTTTCAGTGATGGTGCTTGTTGCCCCCATGTTACTCATTTTGTTTCCTGAATGTTGACATGTTTTTTTGTTTTTGTTTTTTCTTAAAGTTTATCCTCTTCCTTAAGAATTTTCTGAAGTCTTTTATGATTTATGTCTAGGTGAGGTGAATGGAGTAATAAAGTAAACCATCATCAAAAGAACATGGGTAGAGTTGTTACAACAGATAATGCATGGAATTAGTTCCAGTACAGGCATGAGAACTTGTGATGTCAGATGGTGGAGCAGTAACTAACACAGAATTGACCGTGATATTTCAAATAACACAAGTGACAAGCAACTTGTATATGCCTATAAATGTAAAAAGGCTTTAAAAGAAGAAGAAGAAAAAAAAAAAGTAAAGTTACATTGATACGAATTGTGATACCTTCTCTTTTTAATGGGTAAACTCCAAAGTAGTTTTTCAAGGTCTCTGACTCACTGTGTTATGATACGACTTTAAGCTTCAGTTGTCCAGGCTTCATCCTGTACATCCTTTAGCCTTGGGTTATGATTGGTGCTATTTAAATAGGAGGGAAGGGGGGAAGATATGGGCCAACCTTTTTATGCATAATTTAGGAGGTTTCTCAGCATCTTGCCCATCTAATTCCTATACATCAAGCTACAGTAATTTGGGTTGGTCGCTGAGCTACTGACATCTCTCATCTAAGCAGATGAACTGCAGCTGAACCAGGTCTCTTCGGAGATTTCTGAGATCTTTAAGCCATGACAATACAATGTGAATTGGTTTTATTACTGAACCAACAAAACTGTACGTTGGCATCACTGTCTATGAGCTCTAAATGCATGTGTTTGGTAGCTGGAAGCAAATTCCTATTTGTATGGTGTACTTTCTCCTGCCCTACTTGTGACTTCTCATCAGTAAAAGTAAGAGCTCTGGGACTGGGAAAGCTGGCCTGCCTGGATTTATGTCCTTTTTACTTAGATGTAACTGCTCGTGTGATTTGGTTATTCTAAAGCTACTTCAAATGAAGGAAAGTCTGGGATTGTATCCATTTGGAGTTCTTTAATGTGTATGATACTTCGTCTTTATTGCTCCTACCACACTGAAAGCTTCAACGTTGGGTCTTGCAGACTTCAGGAATCTGGTTTCTAAATCAAGTGAGTTGTCTTTCTAACTTCAGCTTGTGTTAACACAAGCATCTGACCTTTTAAAACACGTTATCTTTTATAGACTAGCTGTTTGAGAGTAATTGAAACATCTAGAGATTTTGTTTGGGTTTCTGCTTAAATTCCTGTGGATTTAGTTGCACACATAAATCTTTATTTCCAGTATAAATCAGTGGTCTGTAGAACACTCATCTTCCGTTTTAAAACCTGTTCTATCTTAACAAAAAGCTTTAGAGATGTCTTTTGCAGGGCTTGTGAATCTGCCTAATAAAAAATAAGACACATGACGATGTGATAAAATTTAGTGGTGAGGCTGCATTAGCTTTAGTGACACTAATTGGTCTTGGACATGGAGCTCAGAAGCAGATTTCTTTTTTGGTTGTGCTTTTTCTTTTTTTCTTCTCTCTGTTTGACAGAACTGTTATTTTCACCTTCCTTTATTTCAACCATTTCATGGCTTCTCTGCTTCTCTTCCAGCTCCTCTTTCTTTTGGTTTATATCTCATCAGCACCATTCCCCAAATTGAATAACATTGAGGATTTTTTCATTTCAATAAGTGTTTTCCTGCTTTTGTAGTGTCTTCAGCTTTGTGTAGAATAATAAATGCTATGTCAACTGAGTTTTCCAAATAACTGTAAATACTCTTGTTAAATTCCAGGAGGTTTGATAATGAATTTCTACTGAGATTAAGCTGGACGCTTGTTAGCTGAGAGTTCTGAAAGATGATTTCACATATTCCTATACACCTCTGTGTGTATATAACCAAATCAATCTACTTTTTTTAGTTTAAAAAAAAAAACAAACCCTCCTTTTTCCAGGACCAGTGGCAGGAATTGGGATGAGGGAATTCCATTGCAGATGGATGCCGTTTTCTGTCCCTTCCTGTTATTGTCACTGTGTTACTGAAGAGCTACTGATTTGTGACCCCAGGAGTTGCAAGCTCCCGATGCAGTGCTGGTGCACTGTGTCCCCTGCAGCACTGAAGGGCATTTACCCCAAAATCTGGTGCCTTGAGATGAGCACAGCTGGTAACCCCCACATCTTTTGCCTACAAAAGAACAGTCAGCACTTCCACTGCCCTGGACATTTCTTTGTGTGTAACTGACAGCTCTTCCTCTGCAGTAAAATATTCAGGATACAGTTGTAGTCTGGGTGCACTGGGTGTTTAATCTTGGGGCTAATGATTGACTGCACTGAGTTTAGGAAATGTGGAAGTAAAGAGGGAATGACTGTTTGGATAATTGCAAAGAATAAATGCTGTTATGGTATTTAGTGGATGGAAAACCCAGAAGTTTTAGAAGTAAGCAGGTTGGAGCAATCTCAATATGAACTCAAACTCATGTTCCACAGGCGTCTTGGAATGGATCTTTATGTTCACGTGTGACACTGAACAGCAATTGCTAAAGCTTGATGTAAAACACAGTGCTTTTGGCTGCTGGAGCCTCTGAGATGTGAGAGTGAAGCTCCTCACAAATACCTTGTTGAGCAGCTGGTGCTGAGTAAGCCTACGTGGGAGCTTGTTGACAACTTAAGCTTTATTCCAAACAACACTTCTCTGCAGTCTTCAGTTTCCATGTTATGTTACAAATTACTTCTTGGTTTCGTTTTGATAAGCAGGCTGTTTTATAACTTAAGAGAAAAAAAAAAAAAAAGGAAGACAAAACACAAAGATAGGATAGATAACCTTAAAGTTATCGGGCCTCCTTGACAAATGCACAGAATTGTTGGGCTGAAGTGCTGTGGCTTGTTGTACTTGAAAAGAACTGCAGAGCTTCATTTGTTGTTATGTCCTTGGCTTGCTGTTGTTTAGGTTCTGTGCTAAGTCCTTGGCCAAATACTTTGGTATTGAGGATTCTTGTTTTATTTTCACTTCAGGAGTGCTGTGAAGTCTGCACTTTAGTAATTAGAAATTCAATTACTTGCTATTTATAACAGTTTCACTTTCTTATTTTTCTATAGGTATTCCTTAGTATGTTGTTGCAATTTATTTATATGGATGTCATTTGGAATGGAAAGAACCCAGTTGCAGATCTCCCTCTATGGGCTCTCTGTTATAAACCACTTAAGTGGTGTGTACGGCTGTAAATATGTAGATGGTGTTACTTAGTCATTAATCATATGCAATAGTGGAATAAGTTCAGCCTATTTTTTGGAGGTTGGGGGAAAACAGTTCATATCTTGACTGTGCCTGGAGTAGTTTGCAATGTTGAGTCTCCATCTGTCTATCTAGGCCACGAGAATGGTTTCATACTTCGTTTTTCCTTTTGCATTTAAATATTTTATGGGAAATCTTGCTCCATTCTGCTTTTGAGAATAAACTTTGCTGGAGAAGTTAGCTTTGCTCTGGGCTTGGAAGGTGCTTATTGTGGCTTTTTCCAACTGAGGGGTTTGTAGGACAAAAGCAGGCGGGCAGCAGCAGTTGGGGGGCAGCACGCTTTGGCTTGGAGTTACGAAATCCAAAGAACCTGATAGAAATCCATGAACAGGTAGAGACTTAAGCAGTCAAAATCACAGCTAGCAATTATAATGGTAGCTTCTCCCAGTGTTCCTACGTTGTTTCATTGCTTGTGGAAATAGCTTTAGGAATCTTTGCAGCTGCTGTCTGAAGGTGTCTTAAGTACGTGATTGTTGGCTGTCCATCAGGTAGTTTAATTACTGTCACACAGTCAACTGAGGGCACAACTGTGTGTGGGAGAAAGTGGACCAGGGCAAGTGGCTATTTCATGAATTGCTGCTGACAACAAGTTGGCAACTGGTGGATTAAAGCTCAACTTGGTTGCATTGTTATACTGCACAACAGTTTAAGATAAATATATTTCATGTTATGGTGTTTCAGTGCTGTCTGCCGAGAAGTGTAGTCATGTAGTTGTTTACAAGAGTCTTGAAACATCCTCGGTAGTTTCCTTGTGAAGGAATTCCTGGCACCACCTTTATAATGTGCTTTATGTATCCTGTAGAACTGCTGCTGAAAGATAGTTGTCCTAGGCTTGAGCTGAGGCTGCCATCCTTTTTTTTTTTTTTGCCTGTCTTATGTTGTAAGCCTTGCTTGGCTTCTTTGTAGAGAAGGAAAACAGTATCTTCAAATATTGCAAGTTATGCATAAACATTCTGCAGATATTTTACATAGTGGTATCTTATCTTCCTTTCTTGTCAAATATGAATGACATTTACCTACACATGAACTTCTAAAATGTGGAATGTTGAACAACAAAAAAAAAAACCATAATCAGAATTCCAACAGTTTTTTTTTTCTTTTACAGAAATATATTAACTTTGGACTGGAACTAAACAATGGAACCAGATATTATTCGAATGTACTCCTCATCCCCTCCACCGCTGGACAATGGAGCTGATGATGATGATGAAGACGAATTTGGAGAATTTGGAGGATTTTCTGGTGTGAGCACTGCTGGTGTAGCTTTTGCTGATTTTGATGCAGCAGACTACAGCCATCCAAAGGAGGAATTTATACCCACAAATCATTTTATACCCCTTCATGATTATTCTGACAATGTAGCTAGCATTGCAACTTTCACATCTGTTAAAAATGTTAAAGACTGCATTGCAGAGCTTCCTACTTCTCCTAAGGAACTTTCTGATGCGTTAGCTACTAGTACCAGCAAAGAAAAATCTAAGTTTAGAACTTCAGGTACTGCTTTTGATGTAAGTTTAGAAGACGTAAACAAGAAAGGGGAACAAAGAGAGAACACTGGGAAGTCAGAGGGGTTTTCTTCTGATGTTAGAACTGATATAACAGTTGAAAGCCAAGATGAGCAAATAGATGCTTGTAATGGTGAAAAACTTCCATGTCTAGAGATTCTAACAAATGGATTTGCAGCATTGGACCCTGTAAATCCTCAGGGAACAGAAGATCTAGACAACATCAGTGATTCAAAGGGACTAAATACTGTTAGCAGCTATAGTACTGAGCTAAGTTTGAACTCAATTCCTAGCTCAGGTGAAGGTTTTGCAGATTTTGCTACATTCTCAAACAGAAAAACAATCAATGTAGGGGGAACAGGGCCTACAATATGCACCGTTCTTAGTGAAAGAGACTCTCTGAACATTCAGGAAAACAACAGAATAAACAGAGCAATTCATACTGAAGAAGAGACTTGTACTGCAGAAGTTAGCTGTGAACAGGATTCCTCAGCACTGGAAGGTAATCAATTTACTATTTCTAGTACGTTTCAAACAACTGGAAGTTCAATATGCACTACTGAAAATGGAGAAAACAATGGAAGGAGAAAACAACGTGATGAGGAAAATGGCAAAGGTTTTTCTCAGCTTGATGGTTTTTCAGGAACAGAGGACATCAAAATTGATGAGGTTGAAACCTTAAGCACTGATCTCCAAGGAGAAAACGTGGGTGATTCTGAAGAAGTTAAGAATGGTGGAAGCAGTGCTGAAGTTGTAGCTTGCTGCATCACACACGATGATGACTTTGGTGATTTTGGTTCAGTCAGCAGTGCGTCTTCTGCTTTCATTAATGCTCAAGAATCAACAAATGCTTCAGCTTTAGAGGGAACTTCAGAACAGCCTGCACTTGTTAGCCAACATAATGATGCATTTGGTGAATTCAGGGACATAAGTACTGTTTCTCAGCTGCCAGCAGAGTTGGATCAAGCTAACCTAAATCAGACTGCTGACACTTTAGAATGTGATGCTACCAGTAAAACTTCTGGCTTAGACTTCCAGCATACTACTGAGGTAGAAAATGGCGATGATAGTGAGTTTGGAGACTTTGATTCCGTGCCAAAATCTCAAGATGAGAGCGTTGCTTTTCAGGACTCTGACGACTTTGCGGACTTCAGTTCAGCAGGTTGTAACCAGGCTACCGACTGGAATGCTTTTGAAGATGAAGAAAAGGACAGCTGTTCTTGGGCTGCCTTTGGAGATGAGCAAGCTGGCGAGTCTCATCACAGAAAAGAGACATGGCAGTCGCATAGGACAGATACATCTGCAAGGAGTGATGGCCCGGTATTGCACAAGACTGACAGTTTTGCTTCAGTGTCTTTCCAGGGAACTACCAGTAAGCAATCTCAAGAACCAGCACCTTCAGTTCAGGTAAGGGTGTTTCTGATTTTGCTTGCTCAGAATTATTCTGCTTTTCTGCATAAAGCTCTTCCTGGTTCCTGCTTCTGCAGAGAACAGATGTTTGGATAGTCCTTATTTGTCTTGTGGGAGAGTTTTAATTTGGTTGGTGAGAAAGGCTGGCATGTAATAGTATGCTGCATTTACTTCTTTTATCTTCTGCAGTATTACTTCCTGCAGGAAAAAAGAGCTGGGTCTGTCGAAATTTGTATGCATTTGTTCTGAAAATTATACGCAGTCCTTATATAAACTGATCAAAGTAATAAAGCCATCATAAGCATTTCAGAGTCTGCGATAGCTCTTCCTTTGCTTCGTAGTTTATGGCTTTTTTGGGAGTTCTCTGATGTTTCCTTCTCATTAAACAGACATAAAATAAGCGTCTGAAAGCTGGGGCAACTAGTTCCCAACTTTTTTTTAAGCACCATTCTGTACTGTGTTTGCAAGTATCTGATTAAAAACGATGATTCAATTTGTTAATAGTTGTGCTTATTTGCTTAGAGAGCATGATCAGAAGGCATCTGACTTTGCAGGCCAGCACTGTTGCTATTTGTTTCAAAATAGTCAGTGAGGTGATCATCAAATATGGCCTCCTGTTCTGTCCCTAATAGTCCAACTCCTGGGAGACTCTGTTATGTCAGTTATGGTGAGCTCCACAACACTGCATATTGATAACTTCTTGAGGATGCTGCTGTATCCAGGAGTGAAGTAGCATCATTTCTTACCTCCTAGGTTTTCTGCCTTAGCTGCTAAATGTGAATTAATTCCTTCTTAGGTCTTTTCACAAGTCATCTTTGAGATCTGTGCCTGTTCACTGATAGATACAATTTTATAAGGATTTAATACTACCTTATACAAAATTTAAGGCAACTTGGCTTTAAAATTCTGGTTCTTTTTAATCAAGTCATTCCAGGTGAGTAGTTTAGAATATATTCTCTTTCTGAAACATGTAGCAGCACCAGCAGTAAGGGGCTGGTGATAGTAAGTATCTAAGTTTTGAAACTTCTCTGACAACAGGAGAAAATGAGGTAAGTCCCTGTAAGGCTCCTGTAGACTTGATGACAGCCCTCTCTCTTTAGGTTTCTTACCAATGACAGACAAAAAGGGGTTTTCAAAGGAAGGCTGTGACAGCCAGAGCTTTGCAAACATAAGCAAGTAAAACAGCTTCTAGGGCTAATCCCTGAGTTCTTGTCACTTTAAAAGGTATGAGTCTCTGCTCCTGGCACTTCCTGCTTCCTGTTTTGTTCGGCGACTAAGACTCCAAATTTCAGATTGAGTTTGAGACACTAAAAAAGGGTCTCAAATGAACCTGCAGATGGATTGTTGTGTCTGTGCAAAGCCTTCCTCCTTGCAGGGGGCTACCTGAGTGAGGAGGTCCCGTTCTCAAGACAAAAGCACAAACTTATTGTTACCTGCTCTGTTGTTCATTCACCTATGAAACTGTAGAGTGCATGTGTCATTAGTGCACAATTGATCTAACTTGTTCCTGTTTCCACTTGAAATAAGTCGTTCTGAATCTGACAAGGGGTGGGGAGGTTATTCTAATATCATGCTTTCAAGAACTAATCAGAAAGTTTCCAACATTTATATTTTCTTACAGTTTTCCATACTTCTATGATAGAGTTTCAGTTGAAAACACTTCTGGATGCTGATGCTTATGAAAAAGGAATCTTCAGAGATTCTGTAGTGTTTTTTTCCCTTCCCCACATCTATGTTAGCAACAAACAAGCTCAGCAGCAGTGGGAGCTCTTGGGTGGGCTGTCATGAAGTCATACAGGAATTTGGTTGGACTGTAAACCAACTAAAGATTTTTCTCATTCTTCCTCTGGGCAGCCTGGTCTAGTGGTTGGCAGAACACAGCCCACAGAAGGGGGGTTGAAAGTAGAATAATCTTTGAAGTCTAGTTCAACCCAGACCATTGTATGATTTATACTTTAGTCAGCAGAGACTGTTTGGTTATGAAGTGATATTCTGTCTGTCCTGCAAGTGAGGCAGTATACAACCTAGAGCTTACTGACTTGCTCTAGCAAGCTGCAGAGGAAGTTGTGCTGGATGAGTTTTCAGTGATGCAACAGTTACCTCAGCCTTGCAACAAATCTTAGTTGCTACATTATTTATCCATTAACTCTTAAAAGCAATAGTTAAATGTTTTGACAGCTTATTTTGTGTTCTGCGATCTCTTCAGGTTTTCAAAAGGCCTTTCCGAATCAGCCTATGTTAAATGCTCTGTTTTAATCCAAAGAGCTGCAGTTTGGTACTTTGGAACTAGAAACATTGCCTTGCGTGTTCTGGCTATTGGAATGAATTGAGTCAACATGAGCCAACATGCAGCCCCAGTATTTGGAGTGAGGAATAATAGAAAAGTGATCAAAATCTGAGTTTAATTTTTCTTTCTAATGATTAAAAGATGTCGTTGAGGTCAAACCACAAAATAGAGCCATTCTGAACTGCTTGCAAAGAGAGAGAAACAGTGCATGTGCTGGATACTGGAGATAGATGTGAAAATTGAAACTTTGGCATATGCTGCAGGTGAACTGGGATCATTTACAAGATACTGTATACACTTAATCTGTAATGCTGAGGCTAAAAGGCTCGTTGTGGTGTGGTAGAGTAATAGTGCTAAACAGTGTATAAACAGAATGACAGACCTTTGCAAAAGCAGAAAACTGAAAAGTATGCTTAATCAGCAACATTGCTGTATAAATGTGGAAGTGATGTACACAGCAGTGTTCATCCTTCCAGAGAGCAAATAAAAAGAGTTTACCAGTAGCTGAAGTTTCCTCATCGTTTGTCTCTACTTATTTTCTTTTCTGTTTATGCATGGCTTTTTTGCTGGATATGAAGGATAGAGCAGAATGTTGTGTTTTCTGGTAATAAGGTTCATGTTAGTCCAGCTGTTTTAAAAACTGTAGATTTTGAATAATGTTTAATTAATAAAGTAGACTTTGCTTGAATTCCACTAATTAACCTGGTTTTTCCTCATAAAATATAGAATATGAAAGAAGAAAGTAGGGGGAAAAGGTCACAAGTAACAACCTAATGTAGTAACTTCTAGTGGCAAAGAGATCATTAGTCTTTTCTCCTTTGCCTTTGGACTTAGAGGCTCTCAGAAACCTTCATATGATTGGAAATGTGTTGTATGTAGTGTGCTGAGCTGCTCTTTTCCATAGTGTTAGGTAATGGTAGGGTAAGTAATAGGATAGGGTCATAGAATGGCTTGGGTTGGAGTTCCAGACAAGTTCCAGTTCTCCTGCCACAGGCAGGGTTGCTGGCTGCTAGACCAAGTACTAAATTGGTTTGCTCAGCGCCCTATCCAACATGGCCTTCAACACTCCAGGGATGGACATCCACCACCTCTCTGAACAAATGGGGTTATCACATTTAGTTAGAATTACAGACATATGTAATCCATTAGATTTCAGCTTCTGTGGCTGGAGAACACAGATATTACAGTCTGTTGTTTGAAGCCATCTTAATACTACTGTGTACCTACTCACACAGTGTTTTTCTTCAGCTGAAGATAAACATTAGTATGTTCCAGTATAGCTGCAGGCTTGAGTTTAGTCTAGGCCTGCTATTGAGTTTGTTAAAACTGGTTTAGGATGTAGTTGTGGGTGAATTGGTTGATGCTAATGAGTTTTGAGCAAACCTATACTGTACTTTATGCATTAATCTCCTTTATGTGACCACGTAGCATGTGTTTACAAGGAACATAAAGCTCACAGTGCAGCTTCTTGCATGAGACAGTGCTGAGCATTAGTCAGCTGAGGGGGTTATTCTGCAGTACTGTGTTAACAGTATATATAGGATTAAGCAAAGCACAAGAACAGTTTTTACCTACAGCAGTCACGGGGTGGGAGAAACGACTGCACAGCTATGTTCAAGGAGTACAAACATTTCTAGTGGAGGAGGAGATGAGCAATGGTTTCGTTGGAATACTGAAAGTCTTCCCCGATTCAGCTGAGAGTTAACAAATCTAGAAGAGAAGAGAGAAACGGCCCTTAAGTGAGGTTTGAGAGCCTGTGTGCTGGAGCTTTTCCTCTTCAGGTTAATCAGTGTGGGTGATGTACAGTTACTAAGCCACAAATGTACTTCAAGATGAAGCAAACTTTGGATTGCTGTCGTGTTGAGATTACTTTGTGTTGGCCAGTGAGTGGAGGGTCGTCCTCTTGGAGAAAAATAACTTCAGGGCAACTCCAAGCCTGGTTGAAAAAGGACGCTGCCACTGGATCAGAATAGCAGGACTGACTGAAATAAGGAGTGAGTTTTATGCAGTCTAGTGAGAGAACCATTAGGCATTTTCTGCATTCATGGAAAATGCAAGGCTTGCTCCATTCCTCAGCTGAGGGAGAGGCCTTTCAGCCAGGGGAAGGAGACAGATTCACATTTCTACACTTAACTTCCCTGTGGTGTATAACTCTTGCATGAAACAGTAAAAGAACTGAGAAGTCTTATTCTTTCCAAGGCCACTAAAATTTTAGATTAGCTTTGTAGCCAGGCGAGGAGCTTTATGGTTACTGATTAAACGTGTTTTTTGGGGAGTTACTGAGAACTGCCACTCTTATAACTCTTATAGTTACAATATAGTTAACAATTTACTCCTTTGTTGGTGAGTTTGTTTGTTTAGCTCTTGTGGCAATATACTTGATTGAATAACTAAGTAGCATTCTCATGCTGACTTGTAAATCTTAGCTTAGGACCTCTATTTCCATTATAAATTATCTAGTAATAAATGAATAATATAAATGAATAGAAATACAAATGAAAATAATTCCCTTTGGTTTTTACCTTTTAAGAAATTTCTGGCATTATCATAAACGTAAGTGCTTTTCAAGGGGAGGAGAGAGAGAGCAGCCACCTCCTTGGAATCGTGAGAAGTTAAGCTGGTGTTCTCTGTAAGCTCTGCTTCTCGTGGCTCAGAGCTTTTTATGCCTGCAGCTCTTCTCCTGCTGCTCTGTGAAGGTGCTCTATTTGCTAAGCAGATCCTTCACGTTAGAGAAATGAATGTGACACTTCACCTGGAGAAGTATTCAAGTAGTTGTGTGGTGAAAGCTTTGATTCATGTTGACTGTTTATGTAGCATAACCCAAATATATTGTCTTTACAGCAAGCTGCAGCATCTCTTTGCACAGCTGTTATCACTGCTGAGTTCATGTGCAGAGCTGGGGGGGATTTATGTTGCTCAGTGGCCATGTTAGCCTTAGTATGTTAAGGAATGCATTGGTTTTGTAGTCTTGGAGAGGAAAAACAAATTCTGTAAACCGTGTACTTTGGTCTTCCAGCTCAGAGGTCTGGATCTTATTTCTTCTGTTTACACAGCATAGAAGATAAGTTCTAACCCTGCGGCTATAGCTTTCACCTGAAAGTTTGTTATGTCTGTGATATTTTGATTGTTTCAGGTCGGCTACCAAATAGCTTACATATTTCTTAAGAACTTTTGTGCAGTCACAGAAACTATGGATTTTTATATTTGCCACTGGAGAATCACAGTTAATTTTTAGAATGGCTGCTCTGGCCTTCATTTACACCTTTAGTAGGAGCCTGTAAGAATTATTCCTGTCAAACCGCAGTGAAGAATTCTCAAGTATCAAATATTTCAGTACCTCAGAAAGTGCAAGAAAGCTTTTTCTTACAAGACTGTGACTATCTCAGCCTATGGAGAGTGCTCTTTCCCTAGTGAAGAAGGCATATCTGGAGAGTTAGTTGGTGATATGGTGTGTGGGTACTGGAAGTTAGAAGTTTCCTCAAAGTACACTGAATTCTTACAAGATTTTTCTCGCTGAATGTCCTGTTCCTACTGTCCATGACACCAATTACATTTTCTTAGTTTGCTTTACGCAAACAAGAGAATGAGGTTTGTAGAAGAGAAATGTTTAAATTAATTTCAAAATCTTGCCAATGCTGTCTGTAGCTGGGCACTGTCAGCACAGTATCCTCTTAACAATTAAAAGAAAAACTTCCTTGAAGGACACTGCCACTGCTGGAGATACGTGCGTACGTACATCCATCCCTCTGTCTATTTGCACACATAGAAGTAATTATTCTGGTTTGCTATGGAAACAGTTCTTCTTTACTATATATAAGTAAGGGCCAAGTACTTCTGGAGACTTAGAAAAGATGAAGGGAAGGGCAGAGAATGCTATAATTAAACTGCTTGAAGTTTTGGCACAATTTTTGAGCTCAAATTTGAGATTGAGTTCTGAGTTGGCTCATGGAGACTTTCTCTTAGTTCTTTCATTATCTAAGTCTGTTCTTAGTCACTAGTGTGTTCTCAAATGTCTCTCCTTTTCAAGAAACCTGATGCCTTGCTTTTGTCATGATACAGTGCCTTTCTTCTGACTCTTCCCTGTCTCTAGGAATATATGTCTCTGCTGTATTATTAAATGAAAGGAACTTCACCCATTCATGTGCTTTAATAGCAACTGACTCATTGCAGGCAGTTATAAAGAATAACTTAAGGAGAGCGTGCTTTTGTATGCTGAAGCATTGAGATAGAATCCAGAATGATGTTTAGTTATACTAAATTACTGTCTTTGTTTTGATCAATAAATGCAAAACAGTCTAAGGGTATTGTAACAGATAATGTGACTTGCACTGTATGGCCAAAGTGGCTGGGCATTAAGGCATGACTACACTTAAAAGGAACGTGCTACGCCGTGGAATGTGACTCACTACAGTCAGAAAATACCAGTGGGATAATGAAGAGGAGGGGAAAAAAATGAGTCAGGAATGCTGTGTAATTCAGATCATTTGATAATATGTTAATAGTGGCATTTTGGTGTAATGCTTTGCAGATGTCTTATAACTGATCTGCTGGCTGTCTCTGTATGTCAGGCATATGCACATGTATATGATATGAAAACTGATGAGGTGGTAAGCAAGTTAACTGTCCTGCTTTCTGTGGTTAGGAGCTGGATAGTGAGAACAGACTTCTGAGACCTCATCTTACTGCAGCACAAAGAATCACCATGTTCTGATTGTTTAATCTTTGCATCTGTATTGTTTGCTGCTGTATGTGCTCAGTGGTTTGCTGCATTGAGATGAGATGAGGCAAAAAAACAAAAATTCTGATGGGAAATACTGTAGATGCTCACTGTGAAGCTGATGTTCTGTGTGCCTGAACGTGTGTCCCAGCTGTATTGGTTGGTCTAGTCAAAATACGTAATTTCCTCCTGCAGCCTTCTCATCTCTGAACCTTAAAGAAGTTCAGTTGTTAGAGGAAACCTCACTCTGATGTCTGTGTTAGCGAATGTGGCACTACTGCTGGAATATGCTGTGTGTCCACGGGAGGGCTCTGCAGGCACAGCTCTGCTGGCACGTGCTGAAGGATGGATGCCCGTGGGATTGCTGCCTCCTCTGCTCCTGGTCCACATCCCCAGCAGAGCAGCGGGGCGTTGGAGCTGCTGGGTGCTGCCCATTATACAGGGCAGCAGATTATCAGAGTGCCTGTTGAGGAGCTCCAGGTGAGCGTGAACAAGAGAGGGAGATGCCAAGCTTGCATCCTAGCTAGAAGAGCGATTCATGCTATTCTGTTAAAAGTAAGTACGTTAAACAAGAGGCTTAGGGTTCATTTTAGAAGCATAAGTTGCAGTTGGTACTTTTTCTTAAATGATGTCTTAAAGACATTACTGGTTACCTGTTTCTAACTTGTAGAACAGGGCTGAAAAAAACATGTGCTGTTTTAGTGCTCCATCTGCCGTCAGTTCACACAGCTGTAATGAAGTTGAAATTCTGAACTTAAAAAGAAAAGCAGATTACTGTGCTTGCCAAAAAAAGAGGGCTTTTAAAAGTGTTTTTTATTGGGAGATTTTTGTAGTGGTGAGAAGTGCAGGAGAGATGCTTCTTGTACTGAGAACAGTTTCTGTCTTGTATCCTGGAGCTTCCTTTCCCCCAAACAGGCACTGAAATGATGGTGATATCAGGACACAGTTACAACTACTTTTACAAGTACATTGTGCAAACCATGTGCTGCTTTCTAGCTGGTTTCTTACTTGGCTGAAATACAACTAAATGGGCTTTTCTGTTGGGGGTGGTTTGTTTTTTGTTTGTTTAAAGTTATTTGGCTGGGACAGAAACATTCCCAAAGTTGGTTTTTAAGCCCTGCAGGATTGCAGCATTCAGCATCGACTGTCTGAATTGTGAACACGAGGAAAGGGAAACTGCTGGGAGAAAAGTGATTCTACATGCAAGTGATTGATATTAACACATTTTTAGGAAGCATGCAGTCTTTGCATTATCAATGTTCTTGGTCATTATTTTCAAGCTACATTTTGTGAGGCTTTCAACTACATACTTCTTATAACAAGTGAAACTGTCTTCTGAATACCCATTACGTATCAAGTTTGGATGGAAAGGCACCGACTTTAAATGAAATGATCTGTTTTCCAATTTGCATTTCAGGTAACACTGAGTACCAAAAATGTGTTCAATAAAACTCTTAGAGTGCATAGAAATTGAGACTTTCATGTATTTTAAGTAAATATAGCTTAATACTTTTTGCATCTATATCTTTTGCTAACTTATAACAAAGAGTAACTCTAGCAAGATCTGTTCTGAACTCTTCTGTAAGAGCTCATCGTAGAGAGGATAAGACCCTTTCTCAGTAGTTAACAGCTTGTATTTAGTGGTAAGAAAGTCCTGTGGTTCACTGGTGTCTCTATAGCTTGAGGTAAGTGAAGCTTTGCATCAGCTACCAATTGTTTCCTGTTGTAATTTTGTAATTTCAGACTAGCTTTCTTAATAACAGTTAACAGAAGTCCATGTAAATATCTTTCTCTTTGATATAGACAACGTTGTTATGTCGTCTGGAACGAATATTTGAAGTCTGTTTTCCTTCCATGCCTGTTCTTGAAATTGAAAAAGAAATAACTTCCTTGAATCGTTTGCTGGAAGCAGGTGAAAAGCAGACAGCGACTGAGGAGACCTTAGCAAATACTGGGTAAGAAACTGCTAACACAGCTTATTTGAAGTGAATTAGAAATATGTCTTCTGTGGGAGCTCAAAACATGCAGTAGTAATTCAAAACAAGTGGTTTCCATTGATTATTTTGAAAAAGCATTGAGTAAGATTAGCCATCCAGCAGAATGGTTGTTTGCTGTGATTACACTATAGCAGGGTGTTTTACTTAGTCAGCAGCATCTCTTCTAAGTGATGTCTCTGTTAATTAGAAGATATCTTATTAGTTACACTTGCTGTAAAGTGCTGTATTTATTTGTATGATGGTGAAATCTAAGTAGGCCTTGTTCTGCCAGCTGTGGACATCATTTTCCAATTAGAAGTCTGAAATATAATTGTTACAAGAACCCTGTACAGCTCTGGTTCCCCAGAGTGCCGTGCTTGGGTATAAGTTTAATTGGAATGTACATTAAGATGCTTGTATTAAAAATGAGAATCCAAGCTGAAAGCTGGTAAGGTGCTGTTCCTGTTGGTGACGTTTGATTTCTGATGGGTCGTGTAGGGAACTGAGGGATGTGTGGACAGAGCTGCAGGATATCCACGATGCGTATGGACTGCGATACCAGTGGGGCGGCTCCCACAGCAACAAAAAGCTTCTGTGCTCCTTGGGAATCGACACAAGAAATATTGTGAGTCTGTCAATAAGGCTTTTGAAGTAACCGGCCTGCTTGGAAGGCAGTGTTAAATTGAAGTGGTTCTGTATGAATACTTGTTTCTTAATTGGATAGCTGCACTAAGCGTGGCTTTTCATGGCATACTGTCTTACAACTTAAAGTTCTTATGCTTCCTGTTAATATTAAAAGTTTTATTTGTTTTAACCATTGTGTTTAACAATGTCTGTTCTCTTATACTAGTCTCATGTAAGTTTGAAACAACATTGAAACAATATTATGATCACTGAAACAGCATGGCAAAACCTCTTAAGAAAATTTTCTTGTTGTTTTCTCAGCTCTTTACAGGCAACAAGAAACAACCTGTCATAGTACCCATGTATGCAGCAGGACTGGTAAGCTTTCTTGGTGTTATGCTTTTTTTTTTTTATAATTGCCACAGCACTATATAGTCAAATATATTAAATAGCACTAAGCATAAAGTAATTATGGACACTGTCTGTAAGTCCAGTTATGGTTTAGGCATCAGTTGAAATTGTACAAAAGGATCATTAAATGCACAATTTTTGTGATGCATGCAAGCACATATTTTAAATTTTGAAATGAAAAAATATTGATTTATTTCATAAAGCAAACTATCTAACATGGTAGGCTAGCTAGTCTAAGGGTTTTATAAAAAGAAAAATTGCTCAAAGTAGTATACTAATGTGTAAGTGGCAATAAGTTCTTATTTCTTAACTATTGAATACAAAGGGGAAATGTAAAAATGTCAGTTGAAACTTGATGCAGGAAACTAGAGGGTTAAAGAGTAGCTAGAAATAATGAATGAGCATGACAATAAATCAAGATGTCAATTCAGAGCAGCAGTTGTGGGGAGCCCTGGCACTGAGACCAGATGCTTTAAAGAAAGGTTAAGAACGGGTAGGTAGCTACAGTATTCCATTGCTTGTGTAATGGAAGGAAATGTTCTCAACTCTCTGTAGCATTCCTCTTCATGCAGCTGTTTCTCTGTGAGACTGTTTATTAATTACCTGATTGCATCTTAATGCCCCCCGATCAAAAGAGAGGCATGGTAATGCTTTACAGTGTTACTGGCGTATTAATAAAGTCCTACATACATGTTAATAAGGGACCCACATATGGATGTGTATATAAAAAAAATTCTGCAGGGATGGAGTCTGCAGTTCCTAAGAATTCCAGTTCTTCTAAATTATGTTTTTCTTCTGCTTTTCCTACCTTTTCCACTTCTTCCCTTTTCCCTTCCTGCCCCTAAACTCTGCTCCAAGCCAATAGACTGTTTAGGCAGGAAGACATATTATATGGAAAGTGTTGTTGTATTGCCCCTAGTGTTAAATAGCAAGTGTAATTTACATTTGTGTAGACTGAAGGAAAGCCAAGTAACCTGCTGTAGTAGGATCAGCTGTTTGCACTGAAGTTGTTGCTCTGCAGTTCTTGCTTGGCATTTCAGTAACAGCAAAATTATTCAGAAGAGAAGATTTGCATTTTTTGCTTGTTTGTTTAGTACTACTTATATATTTTATATATGTATGTTTGTGTAGCTTTTCAGAAAAAAAGAGTGTGTTCTTTTTAATATGATCTTTCACAAATTGAATATAAAAGGATTAGTTTTCTTTGGCTTAGTATAATTTAATCCATGGGTTAATTTTGTAGAGTGACTTCTGTACTTAATTCCTAGAGCAGTTGTTTTCTGATGTATCAAGGTCACCTCATTCACTTCTTTGGATGTAAGCACGGTATCCTGTTAAACCAGGAGGTAACACATCTCTGAGCAACTGCTGTTCTTTTCATGTAACTGCTTGAATGTGACATGCAATTTTTTTTTGCAATGGATTGTTGTTGCTGTTGAATTATCTCCTTTAAAATATGCTAGTAACAAATGCAGTGGTTTTATTTTCTCATACTTCCTTGTTCAGAGGTGCTTTGCCTATCCTGGGGTGGACCTTTGTCCATCTATAGATCTTCTTTCTTTTTTCAATATAGATCTTCTTTATTCAGGAAGATCAAAGATCAGTTATCATCTGTATAGCTCTTCTTCAGCTTCTGGACAAAAACCTGAAGTTTGAATCACTTAAAGCAAACAAAAGAAGTTGTATTTGTTTATTTTCTTAATGCTTTTTAAGGCATTTTGTCTATGTCAATAATTACAGTTCTTAGGATCATTCTCCAAACTGATAATTTGACTGGTTTCTTCTGAATTACTTAATTGTTGAACCAGAATGAATGCATTCCTTTCCAGTGTCTGCAGTTCCTGGAATCTACATGTGTGTGCGTATTCATGCCTGCAGGCATCTGAGCTTCTATTTTATTTTATTTTTAGGGTATGCTTGAGCCTACCAAGGAACCTTTGAAACCAATATCTGCAGCAGAAAAGATAGCTTCCATAGGACAGACACCTCCTGTATCACCAGAGATGAACACATGTGCATCTGATCAGTTCCAGGTAAAAACCAGAGAGGGAGGGAGAGAGAAAAAGAATGAATGAGGGGAATAATGGAATGCTTTGCCTCTTCCTTCATGTTTTAATAAAGTTTTCTAAGGCACCTGTATCAAAGGCAGGTGTTCCTTGCATCAGATTGAAGACATACTGTTGGATCTGCTCCTCATGTGTGACTGGAAGGGAGTCCCCATGATAAGACTACAGCATTTGGTGGCCAAAATTTAAGAGTCCTGATGATATCTACTGTTATATAGCAAGTTAGTTTAAAAGTCTTTCCTCAGGCTGATGTTCTGTCTTTCCTTTATCTTAAGCTTATCATAGTTTGGCAGTATTTGCAGGTACACTGTTTACGTGTTTCTTTTTCTGTTCGCTTTCAGAGAGACATAAAAAGCCCAGTTGCCTGGAAAAGGGATTCTGGGTACAATCATTACAAGCACCTTGATTGTACCTTGAGTACCTGATTATATATATATTTCTCATTCTCTGAGTTCTGTGTCAGATTTTTGTGAACAATTATCCGTTGAACAGCTCAAAGTACTTCTCTTGTTTCTGTTGTCTGAACCTGATACAGAATGAGTTCAGGGAAGCTTAGGAGTAAGTTTTGAATCCTCTGAATTCAAAATTTTGTGGCTATTTTTTTCGTTGTTGTTGTTTTTCTGGTATTCTAATATTAGAAGACCTTTTCTGTGGGGTGTTGTAGTGTGCCTGGTTGGCAGCGAGCTAGCAAGATGCACAGAGACATTTGACTTTTTTTTTTCCATGTTGCTACAGTCATGCTTGGCATATATTCAGAGAAAGTCAGCTGTGTCTGTCCTTAGCACAGGTTTTGTTTAATCTGCCCACCATTTGGTTACTTGCTGTGCTTGTGACTTCTGATTGAGGGCATTCTAGAACGAGTTATCTACCTAACCTTAATTCTGGGTAGAGTGATTTCCTTGCACTTGCTGCTTTGCTGGAGTGCCGAGCTCTAACTTAGATGCTTGTAACGGTGGAGAAATCTTTCGTTGTGGAATAGCAGTGTGTCTGTGGGCTCAGTACTGAGGTTGTTTATAATCAAGTGCATGTTTGGTGACGCTTCCTATATCTATTGACCCACATGAATTCTGTAATTGAACTGAGCAGCTGAAGTATATATTTAAAAAAGATAAGATTATTGCAACCACTCTGAGCTGAAGGGATCGCGTCTAGCTTCTATATTGGAATGGATTTAGAAAATTTCACTGGCTCTTTACAAAGTTCAAGTTTTTACTGGGAAAAGCATAGATTAAACCCTATAACGCTGAGAGCTGCAAGAGCCTGGGAGATAGCAGTATCTCTGAGTATCCCATCTTCTTCATTGCCTGGCAGTCCTTGTGCTGAGTGCTGAAAATGTGAACCTCTGCTTATCAAAGTCCATATTTTCCTTAGTCGTGAGTGTTTTGTACTTTTGGATACTTCTGTAGCAGATTATCCAGATACTTGTCAAGGCTGCTTGATTTTCTTGTCCCTTAGCTTACTGTTCTGACAAGTGCATTTCAGTTCAATAGTTGTGACCCACCAATACATATAAAAAGCTTTCATGGCATCTGTCTGCATTGCTGGCCTTAAATTATTTTCCTTCATCAGAGACAAATACTAAAAAAGAGCTTCTGGAAAAGAGAAGATTTAAAGCTCTAACCTTTAAGAACACCAAGAGGCTGCAGTTAAGTGGCATTAAGCTTCTTGCTGTGGACAGTCAGCAGTGATCTCAGACATTGTGATTCTGTCTTGGCATTATATTCTCTTAATTCCTGGTGGTTTTAGCTTGCTTTTGGAAAACTAAGTTTGCTTCACATCATACAGGCTGCTTTTTAGGAATATTCTGCATTTTAATGATATTGAGAAAACGTACCCAAACTTTCCTAAACATTTCATTGTGAACTGTGCTATAAATATTAATTAATATGCAATGGAAATATAATAGGTGATTTTAATGGACCCCAAAATTACTTATTCTTAACAGTGGTAATTTAGGTACAATTGTATGCATATTTAAGCTCAACTGATAAATTGATAAAATAAATCTAAATTGTTCCATTCTCAAATGAAGGTGATGGGTCACACTTGTATGCAGAATCTTCAAAATATTGGCTTCTCATTTGAAAGAGATCTTAGTTAATAGATTGTGTTTTGCTTCACAAAGTAGAAAAGGTCTGTTGTTGGCAGCCTAACATTTATGAGGCTTGCATATAGATCCAGTATCTGCATGAGTGTATGATACTGGTGAAATAAGATTTTGGATAAAAATAGTGTTGATGAGTAAGTGGAGGTGGGAGGAGCATTTGTAGAAGCATAGGGATACCTCCTTAGTTTTTTAGGTAATGGATGAATGGAAGAAAGCAAACCAAAATTAAAATAGCATTTGAAATCAAGTGACTGAGGAGAAACGAAGCAGATTCAGCTGCAATAATTTTTCCTTGTTATTATATAAATTCTGTATATTCTGGCCTCATTCCCTACATCAGATCTCATTTGGGTTGTTTAGGCTGTGGAAATACAGTGAGCAAATCATCATCTGGGCAATTCAAGCTGCAGTGACAAGGCTTTGACCTGTCAAATGAATATCTGAGGGAAGTTAAGGTACTGATTGAGATATCACATTATTTTATTTAATAAAGATAATATGTAAACTTGTTCTGTTCTGTATTTGAAGGTAATGTCTAGACGTGTTTTTATCTGTTGTTTCTCAAGACTTTGGGGATTTTATTTCTCTGTTCGTCTGTTCTGTAAGGTGATGAACAGAATGTGAAATAAGTCCAACTGCTTTTACCTGTGTTTAAGAGCACAGTATCCTGCAGACTTTGCTGGTCTGAAATACAAGGCCCCAGTAATGCACAAGTGTAAGAAAGAAAGACTGCTCAAATAGGCCAACATTGATTGTGAAAGCCTACAGACAGGTGCCCTTCTCTTCTGTTTCACAGCATCTGCTGAAGTGGCCTTCTAGTCCATAACTGTCTTCAGTCAGTGCAACTAAATTATACTCCAGTGCTCATCAAAGAAGTTATTATCTGGGCTTAATGTTCTCTGATTTCTCTTGATTCAATCTTGTTCCCTAGTCAGTGTAATTGAAAATTTTATTTACCACCTTCTCTTGGTTTTCTTGCAAAAAGATGTATAAATATTTTTGCTCTTTTGCTATTGTTTCGAAGCATCCTCTTTTCTGTTTGGAAATACTTATCTTTGGTAGAGCTGAGTGGTAACTTTGTCCCAGCATACAGGATAATTGTGGTTTATTACCTGCTTAGTTTTGCTTATTAAGCTGAATGTTGGAATAGAAATCTACGGTGACTCAGTCTTTTCTAGAAGAAAATTGCCAGTAATTCTTTTCTGTAGGTGCCTATTACAGCACATCTGCCTGCATGTAACATGATCTCTAATTCAGAAGCTTATAACAGAATATGTGTCTTACACTTGCTGGGTATTAGGGATTGAAACTTAATTAAACCTCATGGGGTGATGGTCTTTAAAAACACTCTTAATTACATAAGGGACCATCAGGACTTCTAATAATGACAGATGCAAACTACCATATAATTGGCCAGCAGCCAAAGACTCCATCATGGAGCTGCTCTCCAGTTACACATGTGAGAAAGATCCAAGAATATATGTAGCTCTGACTGAGTAAGAGAGAAAAAGTCTGCAGGTAAGAGATAATACAGGACATAAATATTCTATTAGAGGCAACTAAGTTGCTTAAAGGTGATGTTTGAGGAAAGATACATTTCAGAGCTCTTGTAACTGTGCCAATGGCTATGTACAGCAGAATGTATGAATTATGTCTGTGTAAATCTTATTCTGAAAGCCATGTTTATGGTACTCATCTATTTAGAGATTGGTCATACACCTGTGTTACAAGTCTTCCTTCAGCTTTACGACAGCAAAGTACTTCCCTTTAGACGGGGGGAAGGGGCAAGGGAGGAGTTTTCTTGGCTAATCATTGACATGGAAACAAACACATTTTAGATTTTTGAATGTTGAAAAAAATCTTACTTAATGCTATTTTAAAATGACTGTGTGAAAACATCTCTTCCTTTTATCCAAATGAAATACGATGCAGTAAAATGAAAACTAAAATACCTGCTCCTTACTTTATCTGCCAGAGCAGTATTTGGAATGTTGAGTGTACTTCTTCTGTACTATGTCCTGTAATCTAAAAAGGAGGGAGGAGTGAGAGCAGTTTTCTTTGAATCTCAATATTCTTCTAGGTTGGGTGCTTTTCTTGAAAGTGTTATTAAAATAGTAGCTGTGAGTACAGTAGTCTAGCAACCTTGAAGACTCTGAAAGACAGAACATTTATATTCCTGTTTGCAGGGCATGTTTCCCTTATCTGAGTTTAGGTGCCTCAGAGTAGTTAATTTTATTAGGGCCAAGGACATTAGAAGCAGAAAACTTCCTGGTTTATGGGCTTTTGTTTCTGTCCTCTACTTCTGTTGGTTTGCTGATGTGTGGACCAGGGCCTGCCAATATCCTATATAGATGAGGTCTGATTTACTTGTCACTTTCTTTTTAGCAAGCAATTGAAATCAGTGTAATGGCTTCATCCCACAGAACAGGAGGGTTAATATATGCAGTACACTTACTGATTTGGAGTCAGATAAATTTCTTATCCATTTTAGGAAGAATTCATCATATCCTTTGCCCTCTCCTTAGCAAGTCTGACAAACATGTAATCATAAAAATGAAAAGCTGAGCCAGCCATTGGTATCACCTTTTCCATGCAGTGCTGCTGTGGGCTCATCAGGACTCATCACTCCTGACTCATTCTTTTGACAGGAAATGTAGTGGGTGTTCCTCAGTAACTGAGAATTGGTAGGAAGCTACTTTGTTTCACTTGGAGTTTCTTCTGTTCACTCCAGAAGACTGCTAAATTATATTGGCATCCATTTCTTTCTTAATTTGATTTAAAAAAAAAAAAAAGCAGCCTCTTTTTAGTGGCAATATATTATAGTGCAACAAACTTTATACAAGCTGCTGATCATAGAGATTGTAACTTAATCTCAGGTATAGCTTCTACAATGGTAAAATGATTTTTCCATCCCAATCATTTCAGTGCCAGTAATTTCATTATCAGAACAAAGTTTTTTTTTTTTAAATAATAATAATAAAAAATAATTTTAAAAAATTGGTATCAGCTCCTTAGGCTCCTTGGAGTGAATGTTGTTTTAGTTGTGTTCCACAGTATTGGAAATAATTCCAAGTAATTAAGTAGGAAAGGTTTTTCTAGGCAAGATTTTACTCCAAGTAAATGCAGAAGTCTTCAGTTCCCTTCTCTTCCTGTAATCACCTATCTCCTAGCAAAAACTTTTATAATTGGCTTAATTGTACAAAGTTAGCTCAGGTTGCTGCAGTCTTGATTCTTGAATCTGAATATTATTTCAAAATTGAGTAATGTTAAGTTTTGAAAAGAAAATAATTCAAATTTCTACAAAAGCAAACAGGAGGCACATATGTGTTCACAGGCAACTAGTGATGCATTCACAGGAATGTTGTGGAGAACTTCAATTGCTTTTCTTCCACAAAGTGTTATTTTTGTGTTTGTTGTATCAAACTTGTGAAGTTGAATTCAGTGGGGAGAGAATGGAAATGAAATGCACAAAGAGGTGCATTAAAAGGAAGATCTACTTTTTGAGGAATTTCTGATACTATCCTATTGGTCTGTGTTCTGAGAATGCAGGAGGACAGCACTTGCAAGTTGCAAAATCCCTTACAATCCCTTGTAAAATATGATCCCTGCTGCTTGTTTAATTGCATATGCAAAAAGACTGAACAAGAGGAAATGGAAAGGCAAGGATAGACTCACAGAGGAGTCAGATTCCATGTTCCTCTTGTTCATCTTACCGCTGGTTTGTTTAAATATTGAAATGGTTTTATCACAAAAGGGTAATAAATCACAAGGTGGTGTGTTTTTTTTCTTGTGAGGGTTTTCTTGGGTAGTTTTTCCTTCATATGTAAGGTTTCTGTCCATTAAAACTCCAAAAAAAGCCAAAACAAAACACCAAAAACAATCATGCTGTTCTATAGCAAATAACTGGGTTTGTCTATAATTGGGTCAAAGCATGGATATAGACAGCTTTCACTAATAATCCTTTCCTAAAATTGTCCTCTAAATTGCATATACACCATTCTACGCACAGTGCTTTGTCTCTTGTGAAAGTAATATTAATTTAATGTTCAACTATGCCTTACTGGTTATCTAATTCATATGCTTTAGTTAATTTGAGAATCCTGTTTGAGTGACCTAATCTGTACTGTTGAGAGCTTACTGAGACTTGCTATAGAAGAATAAATCTTTGGATCTCTAGCATGTGTAATGAAAATTCACCCCTTGCAAAAGCTGGGGCTTCCTCATACAGTTGTCTCTTTAGTATTTAGATGCCAAAGAATCTGTTGTTTGAACTGCTTTGCATTGTTATAACATGAACTGACTATAAAATCTGATTTCTGACTTTTCAACTCTAGGAATCTCTACCACCTGTCCAGTTTGACTGGAGTAGCAGTGGCCTTACTAACCCTTTAGATGGTACGTCTCTCCGTAGAGCCTCTAGCGCCAGAGCTAGAGATAAGAAAACTGCAAAGTTCAGACAAACATCTATCTGCTGATTATTTTTTTAAATATATACACACACATATACATATATAAATATATATTATTTATTTCTTACTCTTAACTTTGGAAATTCAGGCTTTCTTTCTGATTAACTGTGCTGCTATGTGAAAAATTACGTAGTCTGAAAAATACCGGGTGAAGTATTTTAGATTTGTGCCATATGCCTACGACACAGTGGCAATATTAACATTTCATTATAAATAACTGCTGATTATAACGAAACCCTGAATAAATGAACACTTTGGAGTGACGAGTTTTCCTTTGTAAAAGTATTTTTCACCAATGAACTCTCCTTAGACATCCTTGTGGATGTCTAAGACGAACTTGTGGATAGTGGCTACTTCAAAGCACAATATTTTAGCTGCAAACTATTTGCGAAAGATGCACTTCTTGACCTGAAAGTTTTCAGATTTACAGATAATTTTTTATATTTCAAAAATGTGACATCATCTGTTTTGCTTGAACTCAGTAGTTAATTAGAGCTAATATATTGAATAGGTAGCTACAAAGTTATTTCTATCTGTAAATGTATATAATTATCACTTAGAACCCTTCACCTATCTCTGTTTTAATAGCAAAAAGGGTTGTGCTGCCACCTCCAGTCTTAGAAATGTCAGTTTATGCAAATTTTGGAAACTTATTTGAATGATAGACTAAAGATCTTGAAAGAAAACAATACCTATCAGAGGAACCTGCTAACAACGGTTAATTTACAGTGTGTAAGTTGTTCAAAAGCAGGCTGAAAGAAATTGCATCTCTTGCTGCTTTGGTGATGCCTCAAGTTTCAGAACATGCAGGTTGAACCAGTTTGGATAGCAATATCATGGTGCTGAAGGAAAGCCTGGATGGACCCTCTTGCTGTTGTCTAGTGTCTTACTACTTCAGTCAAATCATCATGCTTTCTTTTTAACAAGCAACTTCTTTAAAATGTATCTTGGCTTAATTTCTGTTTCAGTACTAAAGGGGAACAGTATAATTCACCAGTGAGGAATTGGGTGTGAGAGTGGCATTAATTAAGATGTGTTCGCATTGTTTTAAGATAATCATAATCAATTGCTTGGTTCTTTGCTGTCTGGGGACCTGCTAAGTCTCCTTGATGAAAGAATGGCTATCAATGTCATTGAAGGGAGGAGAAGCTCAGTATTTCCTAGCTATCAATTGATGCATATATTGTTTCCCTTTAATTGATCACATCTTTCTCTCTGGGTCTTGCTGGTTTTCTTCCATTTCTAGATTGAAATAAATGTTTCTATTTTAAAGTTACTAGTGTTGATTTCCTTGCTGCATTGTACATGAGGAAATGTGCACTGAATTAAGTTGTTAACGTTTTAAAGGTACAAACTAATACTGTAAGCATTGTTTTCATGTCAATTTTTAAATTATGTACTGAGTACTAATTATAACTTGCATGTTCAAGTGTGTGTCTTACCCCTTTTTACACATAAACCCCTCCCTTGGCTTACCTTCTATATGGCTGCCTACCAACACGGTCACTGAATTTCAAGCTAGTGGAGGTTCCACTCTTCTGAACCTTGATTTCTTTGGGCCCGTGGATGACAGTAGCTCTAACAGCACCACCACAATCCCAGGTCAGCAGAGTGTTAAAACCACAACTGTAGTGTAACAGCTTACTAAAAGCATGAGCACATCACTTGACTTTCCTATAAACAAGGAGAAATCTCACTTTCTGTTCCTCTGAAATGTCTCTCTACTGCATTTTTCCTTTAATCTGTGTTCTATTTTCTGATGTTTGATATCAAGTCGAAGTATTTTAAAGGTACTGTCAGCTCTGCATTGTCACACTGGAGGAATGAATGGCTCTTTTGCTTTTGCAATTAAGATGTTAAAACACTTGTTTCAAATAAGAAATTTTGAAAGTTAAATTTTCCAAGTACTTAAGAGTAACTGAAAAATGGATGTGGATGTGACTATTAAAAAAAATAAAAATAAAATTAGGCTTGTTTCCTCTTCTAAGTGAATGTCTCCAAATTACAGAATTGTAGTGTCAATTGGAAGTCACTGAGTACAAAGGTATAGGGCTTAACAAATCACAACCTATATGGTATTGTCTTCTACCTGGAGACTAAATTTTGTCGTGTCTGAAGTACTAGTGTTAATGATAGGAGGAGAAAAAAGTGTTTTAACAGCATTCATAATAGAAAAATAAGGATAGCTGCATGTTCGTGGGGTGTTAGAAGTTCATAAATGCTGTTTATAAAACTAAAGCTCTTCATCTGCAATTTAAGGAGATGAAAATATCACTTTATCACTTTTGAATAAAATGTGAAAGTAATTGAATTTGTTTTTCGTATGGTTTTGACATGCTTTCAGTATTTTATATGAGCTTGTGAAAACCTACAGTTGGAATAAATTCCTTCAGGAATTTAAGGGAACCCTCTGGAGATTTCTCTGGGTGCATAGTCCAAGCAGTTAAGGCAAATACTCTTTTCAGTCCAGTGCCTGTCAGAATTGGGAAGCCATAATAATCAAATTTCTTACAGGAATGGATTGTTAGTTAGTATTTCATTTTTCAGGGTTTTGGTGTTTTTCTGTCTCGGTGGTTTTAATTTTAAGAAACTAATTTTTCAAACCAATTTTGAGGCTGTCCAGTATTTTTTAGAAGTACTTTGATTATATTTGTATTTTCTGTTTTTAAAGAACTGCCTTCCCACTTTTGCCATTTGATCATGGAAGGCAGTTTTATGGTACCCCACCCCAAATGTGGTCTTGTTCCACATGAGAAATGTCCTTGTCAGGTGAAAGAGAGCAGCAGGTCTGTCGTGAAGGTGACAGGTAGCAGATTGGAGATTCTAGAGTTTGAAAGGTTCTGTCACAAGTGTGTGCAAGTCTATTGATGTGTAATTCATCAGTACCTGGCACACGTGCTGCTTGTGCAGTCACATACGTCCCACTATCCTGCTGCTGCTGTGCACACATGAAGTCATTGCTGGAGGACTACCATATCAGCCTTTTATTTCTTTAGTCTGTTGTTTCATCAGTTGCAGGTATTATCACCTTCCCTGGTATGCCCTATAGTGCCTGTTTTTAGTTTTTCCTTTTCTTTCCTCCTGACTTGTTTCTGGGAAAGTCATTTGTTTCTTGGCTTGCAGCTCATGTGTTTGTGTGTGTGTTTAGGAGCTTTGTGTGGGGTTTGGTTGGCTAACTTTCCTTCAATATCTCATTAAGGTTTCGCAGTGCTCTCCTTAGCTATTCTCTGATTGCTTGAATAAAATGGAGAATATGCAACTCTTATTTAAAACAAAATAAATTAAGAAGCTATATAAAAATCAAAAGACAAATTGTTATGGTCTTTTAGCTTGAAAGTTTTTTATCAGATGTAGAAGTTTGTTACATCTCTGAAGATCTTAGTTTTACTTATACTAGAACTATACTGTATTCTTTTCAGTCTGATCTAACCAGTAGCCAAAATAACACTTCATAAAAATTTGCATTCTGTGTCATGATCTAGAAGTTACTCATTTCTCATGTGTTCCCACAGATTTACTGTGTTGTTTTATTTTTCACGTTGAAAGTTTAACATAAACGTGGCAGAGTAAAAGGTGTGTAACGGAATAGTAAATTGAGCAGAGGCATCACATTGCAGTGAGGGTGAATTCAGGACCGTAAATGTCTGAATGATGTAATTTATAAGGTTGCATTTAATGCCTGTTTCAGAGTTGCATGTCAAAGAACTCCTCATTTCATTTGGTTTTACAATTTGTACCTTAATGGGATTTCGCAGGCTTCTGCAAGTCAAGTGTATATCTTCAAGTCTTCCTCTCCCTGTCTGAAAGTGGATATTTTATGCAACTGTTGGGCTTGTTCCTTTTTCCATGTTCTGTAAACATCTGACAGTACTTAAAGTCATGGTATTCTGGTCTCAGTACAGCACAAACTTTAGTGTTTCACATGAAGCTGGTTGAAATTCATTTTTGCAAATCCAGACTGAAACATGTGGGTCGAAGGGAGAGCTGATTATTTTCTCATAAACTCATATTAAATTGACCAAATCCTTCCCCCTGCCTCCACCTTCTCAGCTTAACCAGATTATTTTCTTAATTTTCTTTTTTGATTGGCTTGGTTTTCTCACAATTAAGTATTACCACATGTATAGAAATAAGGAATGCTCCAAACACTGCTTGTGAAGCATTCATGTAAAGCAGGCATGAGGGTTATTATCCTCATGGTGCTGTATTTACTGGGTGGAAAAGGAAGGGCAGCAGGCACAGTACTTTTTTTGTTATTCAGTCAGCTTTTGATATTTCAGGAATACTTCTAAATATGTCTTAATCTGAGCAAGCAGACTGAGAAAATCACCACCGTACCAAGTTTTATGTTAGATATCTACCTGTGACTGTCATATCCAAGGGTTTGCAACATTTATTCTGCAGCACTATAAAATGCTTCTGTATTGTCCAAACCAACTGATACCAACATTATACTCTTTTAGAATGCAGGTGTCTGCAAAATGAGATGTTTCTGTCCAAATTTGACACTGTTTTTAAAGTTATTTGTAGTTGAGGATGATGCATACGTGCACTTCATTTAAGACCAGAAAGCACAAAATAGCTGCAAATGGAACTAGAGCAATACCAACAAATTTAAATGCTCCTGAGCACCAAGATGTGGTACAGTGGTCTTGAAATATTTTAGTAATTTCAATTGTTCACATCTGGTGACTTTAATAATACAGTTTTTAATTGAAATGAATGTGCAACGTACATAAAGTCAAAATGTGGCATCTGATCTGAGACAGCTGAAACTAGAAAATCCAGGCTGAAGTATCTGGATACATGATGCTTTATAAATGAAAGATGAAAAGGGAGCACAGGCAAACAGTTTTGGTAGCTGTATAAATATGGTTGTGTACCTTTTTTTAAACGCCATTCCACTTGCATGCATCATAAAAGCTGTTTTTCCTCACTTAAAAATAAAATAGATTTATCACATCCTCCTGTAAAAAAGCAATACATTGAACCCGCTGTAACATGTGCCAGTGTTGTGTAATCTGTCACTAAACAGCTGGTCACTGTTAACCATCAGCATTCTTTTAATAGCAGCAGTTGAGCTGAAGTAATTGAAATAATCCCTTTTAACGCAGCTGGCATTTTACAGGTATTTCTCTATAAAAGGTAAATTAAATCAGTTTGTTTACTCTTAGACTGAGACTTTGTATGCCAGACTTGATCCAAGGTGTGTGTACTTCGTAATACAGCTTTGAAAGCTACTGAAAAGGGTGGGGAGAAAAGATGCTGTTTTAGAAACAGACATGTTCTGTCAAGTTCTTTTCATGTATCTTGAAATTTTAAACGATTCAGATGTTTACAGAAAATAGTCTCTAGCAAGCTGGTCTGTGGCTAGTTATGGCTATCCTTGTCTCCAACCATCACTGATTATCATTTTATACTATAAGGTGTGGATCCTGAGTTGTATGAATTGACAACGTCAAAACTGGAAACTTCCAATGCAAGCAGCAGAGTGACAGATGCATTTGCAAGACTCATGTCCACAGTAGAGAAAGCAAGCACGTCTACAAGGTAAATACCATGGGTCATGCTTTTTCTTTTTTCTTTTCTTTTTGTCCCTGAGCAGTGAACGTGTGTGCTGTTTGTGAAGGAAGAAAATGTTGAAAATGTAAGCCAAGGTTGCATGTTACAAACATTACATCTGTACTACTGTACTTTGAATTTTGTTTTATCACAAGACTCTAAAATAAGATGGGAAACAGCTTGTGAGCTGGCAGAAGTCACCACAATTAACTTCAAAAGGTAGAACCAAAGACTTAATTGGAGGATAAGACTTTCTGAATAACAGAACTGATTCCTAAGAGTGGAAGAGTAAACTGAAGCTTCCAGTTTGGGCTGCTAGGACTTTGATGGTCTCCTACATAGTTGCTAGATACAGATATGGTTCCAGCACCTGTAAAAATTTTGATGACCAACCATCAGATTTGTTGCTGTTGCAAGCTACTTTTTAGGAGCTAACATAGTGCTCATGTGGCTGGTTCATTATATCCTTTCTGCTTCATGGAGCTCATGCAAAATTCTTCTGTACTTAGCTCTGTATGTAGAGTACAAAAAGGCTTTATATGTCAAATGTCTTCCTTGACATCTGGCCTGGTGAATAGGTAGTCTTCCACTTCTTAAGCCTGAATACTTTGGTTTATGTTTTTAAAATACATCTTAACAGTAGAATTGTGAACGCTATTAATATATAGTCAGCAATCATGCCCATTAGAGAGACACTGATTCTTAGCAGTGAAATGCTTTTATTGTTGAGGAGGTACATGTCTATTTTATAGATGTATATTTTATAGTTGCTTTGCAACTAATAGCAAGATGTCTTCTCTCCGAGCTTCAGCTCTCTAAAACTAAACAAACAAGCTTCTATGCAGCATAGCACTTAAGGCACACGGGTGTAGTTGAATAGAACTGCAGCGTACGTAAGGAATTCTAATGGTTGGATACAGCAGCCTTGTGTAAAATAAGTAACACTGAAATTTTCACAGCTCTTTTAGAACATATTCTTTCACTGGGGAAAGTCTTGATAGTTTTCCTGCAGTGAAAACGTTTGAAGTGAATGCTGAATAAAAGACCAACACACTGAAATTTCAAGAGAGAACCAGTAGAGGGAACTCCATACCTCAGTGCTGATTTTTCCTCCACTTTTGGATTGCCTGTTTCTACCTACGGAGGGCATATGCTTCTTGTGAAGATAAGGTAGTGGGAAAGTCTGACTTTAACTAATTAGCAAATGTAGAAATAGTTAGTTGGAAGTATTTTTGTAGTATATTCAAAAGTCTAACTTAAAAGTAACCACAAATCTGCAGCAGGATACACACACTCCGAATACTGATATCTATTCTCTTTATCTCCATTCTTAGATTTGTCTGCTTGCTTGGCAGACTTTTAAGATACGTCTGCTTTGTATTTACAAATGAGCAGCACAGTCTGCTTTGCTCAGGAATGCTGACCTTCATTTTTCTATGTTATTTTCTTTGGGAGTGAGTTTTTTGTTTGTTTGTAAATGCTTTCACAGAACACTTGAAACTTTCAGTTGCTCTGTTGAAGCTCGATGATTAGATATCAGAGCTCTTAGTTCTGGAGATCACTGCTTGGTAACGGGAAAAGGTTCTAGACTGGTGCTATTGAAATACAGCTGGCTGTAGGGAAAGTTGGAGGCCTCAAATGTGCCAGTTATGTTCAGATACATGCAGATGAGCTGCTTTAAAGCAGCTGTTTTCAGTGATAAACACGATTTGTGTGTTTCTGTCAGCTCTGAATCTTAGATTTTTTTTCATATGCTCTGAAAAAAGAAAAGGTATCTTGAAAAACTAAAACCTTCAGAGAGATAAGGTCTTATCTCAGCAGTATGCTAGATATGTTGCAGTGTGTTTGCTTTGTCCAGTGGAATTGCTTTTCTTTTGAATATTTTATTCATAATGAACCTATAGCTCTGGTAGCTGGGCAAGGGCGGCTCAACAAAGATGGCCCACATGCACTAAAATGCAAACAAACTTCGCCATTCCTGGTGAATCAGGGGAAGATGTGGCCTGTGACACAGCACTGCTGTGATGGTGATTTCACTCGCTCTGAGACTACCCCATATTTATCTGTAAATTGTCTGAATTCAGGATCTTTGAGGTTAAAATTTGGAGGGAGGTACCAGTTCAGCTATAGGAAGCCACCTTTCTTTGAAACAGCTCCATCTTTTGCTTGTGAAATGATCGCCTGAAGTTGGAAAATCAGTTTCTCAAAAGGAAAGAGTTGGGAGAAGAGGGGGAACATTGCAGCTTGAGTATGACACCTTGAAGGCAGCAGTAAGTTTTGAATGCCATCACTACGGGGCAGCATTCCACTGAGACTGCGGCCTTGCCCAATCAAAAGTTTACCTGCTGGCTTCTGGAAGGAAGAATGAGCCCTGATGCCATTCCAAGAAATAGCTGAAACCCTCATTTAGACTGGAGATACTCCATGTGGGTAGTGTTGGATGTAGCAGGCTAACTCTTAATTAGAGAGCGATTTTTAAAGTCTCTAATTGGCTCATTGTTGCTATCAGAGCCTGGCCTTTTTGGTGACATCCTTCAAACCTTTTGCAAATGCGAGTGATCACTGAAATCCTGAAAGACTGAATGTTGCACAAAGGGGTTAGAATGTAAACTGGAACAGTTGGCTGTCAGTGACACATCAGCAAAGCATTACACGTTTCTTGCAGAACCTTCTTCCAGCAACTTTTGTGCCTGTCAGTCTGGCTGATTTCTTGCAGCTTGGTCTTAATGTGCCATTAAAAAAAGAAAAAAAAAAAAACCAAAAAAACAAACAAAAAAACTTCATGCCAACAGGTAGAAGAACAGGTATAATTGCTTGGGGCAAGGTATTCCCTCAGATCCCTGTCTTGGGAAGAAATGTAACCTGATGTTAGAGAAGAGGTGGAGAGGGCAAAGTGTTTTCTTAAAGGTAGTTTTAAAGTGTTGATGATGTTAATGTAAAACTAGACTGCAGTGATGATGGTGCTTTAACTCTCTATAAACTTAGATAATGAGTAATTGTTTAGGGTTGCCCTGTGATATTTGCTACCGAAGGTGTTGACGAGTCTGTTAGCCAGAAAGGCTAATTGCAGTGCCCAGTCTCTTCTGGAGGAGCCAACACCAAATCAAACGCAGCACTGCCTCCAAGACCCAGCAGTGCAATTTCTTCGCATGACACAGTTGTGCAGAGGAGGAAGAGGCATATAAATAGCAAGGAGTGTGTGAGCTCCATCTTGGTGCCTGATTACAATTGCAGGAACTCCTTTTAATGCAGATCTCTGAGTCAGCCCTCTTCCTTTGGCTTCCTCTGTCAAATGCTCCTTTGTTAGCTGTAAGTCCTTGATCACCAGGAGTTTGTACCTTTAAGAGGCTTGTGGTAAGTGATTACTAATAGTGGCACCAGATACTGATAACACAGTGGTGGGTGACAAACACATTTCAGCAGCTCAGAGATAGTCCTTAGAGTGTGTGCAGTACTGACAGTGAAGCTGTTAGAGAAGGCTGCACATATTGGCTCTCTGCTTCTTCCATCAGTAAATCCAGCACACAGCTTTGTTTATCCTCCAGAATTTGGTAATCTGCCTAGTCAGTGGCTCATGAAATTCCACTGCAGCAGAGAAAAGAAAATATTGCTATTCTAGCAAAGAAAAGTCAGATTTAGTATCTATAATGCCTCATCTTGAGATCTTTCATCAAGTAGAGATTTCAAGTAGCAAACAAAACTGATAGCTCTGTGTCAACACAATGATCAGTGATGTCAGGGATGAGTTTAACTCCAGTTTTTTCTCTTGTTCCTTTAGCCAAGAAATTCTGAGACTGCTGCTGAAGGAAACACGTAGCTTCTTGCTTTCTCCTGATCTCTAATCATCTTAGGGAACCATCCTGATGGGTGCTGACAAAAAAAGATGCATGACTATATGTTGCTTTCTGATTGGAGAAGTGATTTCCCTCTCACAGACACAGCTGAAAGTTTGTAGCATTGGAAAAGATATGAAAAGGAAATTTCTGAAATGCTCTATGGAAAGGCAGTTTGTTTCTAGCCTTTTGTCTCAGCTTTTCACTGTGTGGCAAAGGAGCTTCTTCAGTAAGGATTTCTAATGTCACTGTAGGGTATAGCTAGTGCCTTTCTTGGGATTATTTGTTTTTTTAGTGATGGCCAGGGTTCTTCATGATAAAGCACTACATATGGCCCTGTGGGCATTGGATGGGATCTTCTCTGACTGTTTGAACCATTTTACTTAAGAAGTACGAGTTCCTTGTGAAGAACAGTGAGAACCAAACCGTGGGTTTCAGATTCTTCATTCATTTGTGCTCAGTAATTCTGGTGAATAATGCAAAAGGCAAAGTAAATACCAGCAGTTCCCCCAGCTGCTGTGTGCATCCTGATGGCTACGCATGCCGCTGCACTTCAAAGCAAGTTAGCTGCAAGTTGTGAGCTACCTTCTGCTGATGGTTGAGACCCTGGTGAGGGGGGAGGAAAGGGCTTGTGGATCACACTGTAGAGAAGTATGGTATATAATCAGAGTGTAGTTGTGTTGGAAACACATCTGAAGTACACTTCTATTACTTTTTATTTTTAAAGCAGTATGCCTGGAACTTCTTAATGAACTTTCTAGAGTTTTCCATTTGATACTGAAAGATTGTGCTGAACTTAGGCAGTTTAAAGCTTAGGTTCCTTTTGTCTTAGCTCTAGAATATGAGCATGGCAGTTTGTTCAAACGAATAGTCCCAAAATGGCACACTGGAACTTGCCTCCCCCCGGATAAATTAGCATCTGAATAGGAAATAATTTCTCCTTATTGCAACAGTATTCAGGAACGTTTTGCTGACTTCCCATTGAATGTTCTGTTGGTAGGCAGGTATGTATTATAACATTAGCCTGGCTTCAAATAGCTTGCAGAAGTGCCTGTCTGTGGGAGACAAGCTGACAGAGCATTGCTTCTATCGGCGATTCTTTCAGTGATCTGTCGGATTGCAGATTAATGCACTTTTTTCTTTTCTTCTCAACAGGAAGCCTAAAAAGGAAGAACATCTTAGTGAAGAGGCTGCCAAGGTGATTTCTAGCCTTCCTGACTTAACTTTCATGCATGCCAAGGTGTTGATGTTCCCAGCCACATTAACACCTTCAACAAGCTGCCAAGAAAAGGTAGACTAAAGTGATGTGAATTGGACGTTTTCTATTGATTTTTTTTCTTCCCTCTATGGGTCATGAAAAGCAATCTTGCTTTAATTAAAACAACAACAACAAAAAAAATCAAGTTCAGATGATTTGTTGGTAAGCAGCACTAGAAAGGTATACATAGTTATGTATATTTATTTACATACTGAAGTCCTAAATTTATATTAGAGAAAAATGTAAATAATTGGGGGTAAATCTTTTTGAAGATCTATTCTTTTTGTTGTGCTGGGGTGTATACATTTATGTCTTTGTGAAATACACTGGTGGTGTCCTTCTTACAAAACTTCAAAAAGTTTAAAATATATATCCTAGAAACACATAATGAAAAAACTTCAATCTTCACAATGCGTGAAGTCCCCTTTAAAAGTTTTCAGGTTGCATTGAGTGTCTTTTTTCTTTCCTGCATACATTAAAATACTTTTTGATGGGCAAACAGAAGGTTACATTGAGGGGTTTCAGTTGTTTTTTGAAACTTGATCTTTTCTCTTCTGTTTTAACAAGCTTAGGATGTGTTCTTCCTTTTCTTCTCCCCCTTTCCCTCCCTGGTTGATTGGTTGGCTGGTAATTTTTGTTCTTAAACTTGAGTGGTATGGTTCTGTCACTATGTAGCCTTTTGAAAGGTATGCTGTCAGTAACTTTTCGTTCCAGTTACGGATCCTTGTCTAAACACTTGATTTTGGGGTCATTAGGAGGTTGTCTGCTTTTAATCAGTTTGATTTGGAAAAGAAGGACCAAAACTATATGAATGTCTTACAATGAAATTTATCTGTTAAAAATTCTTATGTTTTGTTGTACCACTATTTCTGTTTGATTTTGCACAGTGTAAAATGACATAATCATAGATTGCTATGGTTTTAGGCTGTATATACAGTAAAAACTATGGGTTGTAAATGTTTGGGGAAATTCCTATGGAAAAAAGAGAGCTATGTAGAAGAACCTCTAAAAAGGTCAATGTGCATGCCCAAGGTCTTTTGAGATTTAAGTGTGTAAATTTCCTTTTAGCTTACACAAAATAAAATAATTTAAAAGATATATATGTATATAGCCTGTTTTCTTTTTATCCAGAATATGTACATTATTCCTGATGCTAAAATTGATGTGCTCCATTAACAGCAGAACCTTTTAATTTTCGTTGCACAGTCCCACAACACACATTTATCAGGGTCATGCAGAAGGAGAAGCAGACTTCTCTTCAGCTGTCCTCTCTTTGAGTATGTAATGCTGTAGTCTTTTATTCCTGCCTCTGACTTAGAGGGTGCTGTGGCTTAAGACATGTTGGTATTTGAGATTAAAGACTTTCAGAGTAACAGGCAGTGCTGAACTGCAAGAAACACAAATGCAGGTGATGTGGGAAGGGACGCCTGGTTTTGCCTATTTCCTAGATAGAATTAAAATGTAACTGTAGCTTTCACCTAAGTTTCCTAATGTGTTAACTTGCACTGTAGCTCTTTCAGCAAGTCCTGTTCAGAGGACATCATGAACTATTCAGAACGGAGTCTGCAGGTAAGGCCTGCTCTGGGTGCAGATTTCTTTGATGGGGCTTTGTGTGGGCAGGGAGGCTGTGCATCTAACCTTTTCCATGCACACAGCTCTTTAAGTGCTAGTCACCAGCACTTCATCAGCTGACAACTAGTTCTGAGAAACCTCCAATGCATTTTTTTTTCTTACCTCTTCTTTGAATTCTTCATCCTCTGACGGCGCTTGGATCAGAAAAGGTAAAGTTGGAGTTTGATGTTACAGGCTGATGAGCTGAAATGTTGTCCTCACAGACTTTTCTCTTGTAGGAGCCCTCTTGAAAGATTAGTACTGGATGGAGTTCTACTTTCGTGAGCACAGGAGTTCCAGTGAGTGGTGGCTGCTCAGAATTGAAGAGCAGTTTATATAGTTGTGATAAAGTTAATTTGTAAAGGCGAAACCGACTCTTGCCTCCAGTCAGCGATGCAATGTCCAGTGCTATAGTAAAAAAGAACAAAATAAAACAAAAAACCACACATACAACCAGCACTCTTTTGTAGTTGGAAAGATTTATGCAACAGCCAGCTGCTTTACTGTATACATCCAAAAAGCTTGCATTTGCTTTAGCAAATTTTCATTGCAGCGCTCACTTCATGCCTGTTTCACCACAAAATTTGCTTTGCTGTTCTCACAGGTTTAGCATAGTATTCTTTAACGCCTGCTTATTTTATTGTTCATTTCTGTTTGGCTGCTGTAGGTTAAAAACAACCCCTTTGTTCTTGTAACTGTAGCGGGTCCCTTGGAGCTGGAGCAGTGGTATAGCTGCAGCAGAGAGCTATAGCTATTGTTCCAAGGAGAATATGTTTAGGAGCTGACTCATGATCCTTGTCTGGCAGCGAATGGACTGAAGTATTAAGGAGAGGTGGGGGTGGAAGTGCCAGCTGCAAGTTGATCTTTAGTCTCCTCACAATTGCCTCTAGAGGCAGCTGCCCATTTGTCTTACCAGGCCTCGAGTGCGGTCCTAGTGGCCTGCTATAAGTGGGGGAAGGGAAAGGAATGGCAGGGGAAGGGATTTCTGCTTTGAGTGATGAACCAATCTGACTCTCTGTGAAACCTGGTGCTACCCACAGCGTGTTTATGGGGGTTTTATGTTGTTTCTGCCAAAAATGAAAAATAAAAGATTACCTCTCACAGACCTGCTCTCTGCTGAAAAAATAAATCTTCCATCTGAATTCAGCTTTTTGAGACGGATGCTGTTTGCCTTAAAAAGCAGTGTTGCTTTTCAGCTGCTTGTTTAATGTAACCCCATCTTTCTTGTCACTTATGGGATGGACAAAAAGATTTGTCTGCCTCTCTCCTGTCCTTTAAAGGCAGTTTTGTCTAGCATATCTAGTTGACATGCAGGTGCCCTTCCATGCTCTTCCCACTGACAAGATGGCCCTTGTCTAATTCAGTCTGGCTGGTTAAGTTTGCGGGCAGTAAAGTGATTGGTACTTTCTGCACACGTGTGTTGCTGTGCATTGCCTTCTGACATTCACTTGAGAAGCACTGTCATTGAGCAGCAAGGCACTTCTGTGCTCATCCAACAGAAGCAGCAAAGGACACTTGGTTGGGATGCGACCAGCAGAGTTGGAACGTGGCCATAAAGCAAAAGTCCAAAGTTCCCAGTGTGAAGAGAGCTGCAGGACCCTGAATAACTGCAAAGAAGAGTTGAACTCTGCTGCTGTTATCCACAAGACTGCACTCTGACACTCCGTGGTTCAGTGCTGACTTACCATGAGCTTTGCCACCTGCTGCACTGCCTCCAGGACTTGAGGCTGTAAGTCTTCCTCAGAATACTGTTAGTTTGACAGGTTCACTTTGAGATCCCAAGAATGAAGCTTATGAGTAATGTACATAAATGCCCTCCTGTGCAATTAGTGTGTACAGAAGCCAACCTTTTGTCACGCTGGATTGCTGAACAGTTTTACATGATAGTGAAATCACTGTGACTGTTGTTGAGTTGTTGGACTGTGCTGCTCTTCAGCTGGATATCCAGAGATCTGTATAGGATGGAAGGGAGGTTTAACTCAGTGTGTATAAGGGGGATCAGCCCAGGTGCAACTGCTTATCTCCAGGTACAACTCTTCTGCTACACTTCTGTACCTATGTATAATTATCTTTTAGATTTCAGAGCAGTCTCTGAGCAGAAAGAAGGATATCTAGCTGTGAGATACACTTGAATATAATTAATAATAACATACGGCATGAAATGATGTACAGCAGCTTCTAGGAGTGTCTGCTTACAAAAGCAGAGAAGTTGATTTGTAATCTGGCCCCTGTGCTGAACAGGTGATAAAGGCAGCAGGCAGCCCTTGTGCTCCCCTAGGTGAACCTGGGACATGAAAGCAGGGAAAAAGAAGCACCTAGTTTGCTCATTTGTTATACATTAAGGTCTCTGTAGCATCAGGGGTTAGGAGCATGTGCTGAATACTGAAACTGCTGGAGCTCTTGTTTTTAATCTTGTCATCTCACTCTTAAACTCTTAAGATGTGTTGTTATCCCTGCATTGTGGCAGGGTTGTGGAGACCAGCTCTGTTTGATGTGCTGTGATCATCTTTTGAAGTTTGCCAGTGATACCCAGGAAGCACTCAACTGATAAAAGTGTCAAAAATACCTCACAGGCATGGTGGATGCTGTCTTCCATCTGGATTTGCTGTATTGTCACCCAAGGGATTTATTCCTATATTAGAGATTCTGAATCTTCATCTGCAGATCCACTGTTAATCTGGACTCTACTCACCTAATTTTAGGGCAGATATCCCCCAGAGGTCCCTAACACCACACATAGGAATTGAGCTGTGTGCCTTAAATAAGGCTTGGGACTACTTGTAGAATGAAGGGGCAGAAAAATACTTCTCTTTCATCTGGAATAGGCCATGGTCCTGCAGAAGGTAAAATAACGAGTAACTAAGGACTAATTCAAAGGAGAGTTGAGTACTGTAGATACTTTAAATGTTTGGTTAAATAGACTTGGTCCTTTTTGTGTCGTTTCCCCTGTGCTTAATGATACTTTTGCTGTAATTTTATATGCTTAGAATTTGTGTGCACACATGCAGAAAACCAAGCCTGAGGCATCAAAATGAAGCTGACCCTTCTGGCCTGCATGCCTCAAGGTGCTCTGCTGGGCTGCCACCTGTGTCCCTGCTGATGTATGACAGAGGGAGCATTTGCTGCTAACCTGCTCCACTGTTGATGCAGTTCAGCTGTTGTGGCTGCTCTCTACCCTTTAGGGCTACAGCAGCAGGGGTTTGTTGGTAAATATGCACACACAGTCCCGTGCTGCAAGTGTTTGCTTAGTTTACTCCAGCAAGCAGATCTGCTCCTAATACACGTGGGTTACCTACTGGTATGGTTGTCATTGTGTGAGCCTTCATGTGCATAAAGCAATTTAAAGCAATGAAGGTTATTAGATGGGGAAGGAGGGAAGCAGAGGGGCAGTTTCAGCCCTGCTCAGTAGCCCTGTCTGTGCCTTTGTCTCAGCTTTTCCAGTCAGATGTGTCTCCATAGCTTTTTTTTAAACCCACAAGTGATCAAACGTTCTGTTTCCTTCAGACAGTGAAGAACTGCAGTGAGCACAGCTACTGAAACCAGGTGTGGTTTGAAAGATGGCCTTAATCTTATAAATGGCAGGAAGTATTGTCTCATCTGAGCTTGTCTTCGGCGCTTGGGAGGCATTAAAGAAAGGGAGAAAAGCAGTGCTTTGGATCAGACCTTAATTTTTGACTGGCCTTCTACTGCCTGGGAGGCTGGCTGCCTTTTAGCAAACTGTCCAGCACAGCCCAGGTAACTGTGGCCTCAGGCTGTAACGCAGAGAGCCTAGCAAACCTCGCTGTGATGCAAATGGGGTGGATGGCGATAGGGCGGGGGGAACGGTTTTAATCTAAAGGAGCAGCCATTTAAGTGAGCTGTCAGAGGGGAGTTTGCTGCTGAAAGCGTAGCTGCACTGCTGACTTTCTTAGTCCTGTAGGTGCACCAGTGTAAGGACTTCACAGAAAAGAAGACCAGTTCAGCTGGATCTCCCAATGGCCCTTCAGCTCCTCATTCAGCTTCAGAGGAGAGAGCTGGGAGCAGATTACAGGGGAGCTGAGGAGTGGAAAGTATCTAACAGCTCCTTCAAAAAGGACAGAGGTTGGCTCGTGATCCGTGGGATTTTCTGATCCTGTTTGGTTCTGACACTCCAGGAGTCATGGTACAGATACAAAAACTTGGCTGTTCAGGAAGGAAGTTGAAAATAGACATGAAGTATCCCCAGCACGTGCCTTCAAACTCTCCCTTTCATCACCTTCCCCAGCCTGAATCTCAGAAAATGTTTTGTGCCAGTCTCAGCAACTTGGCCTTAAAACCTGTTTGCACAAGAAAGCCAACCTTCTTGGGAGATTTTCTTTTTTTTTTTGAGAGTGTTACTCCACTGAGTGCAGGGACTGAGTTTTCATTAGGAGCTCTAAAGCCTTTTGTCACTTTGTTAATGCTGGATTGAGTTAGGAATCACCTGCAGCTGGTAACGGGTGTTTTGCAGCTGTTTAAGGCTATTACAGGTCACTCTGCTGTCTCTTGGACAAAGCTGCCCTGCTCTGACAGTGGAAAAAAGCAGCACATATGGCTGCTTTTAAGGACACAATTTTCCCTCCTTTTCTGTTGTGGGTTTTTTTTTTAACCCTCTCTTTCCTTGTCCACCTACATGAAGCTCATTCTGGCAACTTTCCTCCTCTTTTGGCCAGGCAGGAGGAAGCAGGGTGGAAAGGGAGGAATTAACAGCTGTCCTTTAGGCTTCAAATCAATGCAGCTCCTTAGCAGGCTGGCAGTGTGAGCTCAGTCATTAGGAAAGCTGCTCTTTCATTCAGGAGGCAGCCTGAGCCAACTCTCCCCAGTCCAGGACCGAGGAGGTAGGGAGTTCAGGCCTTTCCAGCTTGTAGGCCCGTTGCAGCTGGCACAGGCTCCTCTTCCCAGTGTTTCATTTCTGCAGTCTGCTGGAGGACCCTGCTGGCACGAGAGATGAGTCTGTCTCAGGAAACGAGCAGCATTTTGCACTGGGTGTGCTTGAGTTTTCTCCTCATCATAAAAGCCTCCTTCATCTGAGATTGGAGTGGATGTAGGATGCAGATCAGGACTTTCCTGTTAACAAAGCTCTGATCTGAATGGGTTTTTTCTGAAAGCAAGCTGGAAGGGTGCTAGACATTCCCTTAGGTGCTCTTAGCACCATAGCTGTCCTTGACCTGCAGGGGCAGTGCTGCCCCTAGGGGTAGGGTTGGCGAATACCTGAAATCTCATTTGTGAATGATAGCACTCGTGTCCCAAAATCTTCCTCTCTGGTGCCTCATTTGGCTGCTTCTGATCAGGAGAGTCGCAATTCGTTTGTGAGCGTGAACAGAATGTCACTACCCTGCTTTACAAGGGGTAGTGAAAGAGGTTTGCAGCAGCAAGGGGGATTTTCTGATGTCTCCAGGGAGAATTTTACAGATCTCCCAGTGTTGGTACTAGAGAATCCTTTTGGTTTGTTTGAGGAGACGAGTGCTGTCCACAGCTATGGGACAGGGAGGCAGCAGGCCTCGTTTAGCTGCAGGGAGCTCGGTGAGTGGGAACAGTGCTTTTCTAAGGTGTTTTGTTGTTTTCTTGGTGAGTTTGGGTATCTAATACCCATTTATTGCCTCACAAGCCTCCTGGCACAACTCTTGTGCTTGGAAGAGCTAACGCTGCTGGAAGATGATAAACAATAATGCCACTTTGCTCCTGGTTGGCCTTCCCTGACTTGGACGGGCTGTGGGTGAAGGTGGCTGCTGCAGATGCATGGAGTAGCAGGGCAGTTCTGATTCCTATTAGCAGCTCACCAGAAGTTTTTATGGAAGGGAGAATAAAAAAGCAAAAAGGCCTCCTATTCTCTGCAAGGGCTGAATTGGTTCTGCAATTTTCACTGCAGAACTGAGTGCACTAAAATGCACCAGGACATTCTTTCCATCGACTTTCCTACCAGCAAGCCTGCTGCTGAAGCATTAGGGTAAAACTAAAGCACTGGGGGGCAGGGAGAAGCAGCAGCCTTCCATTTATGGACCAGTAGGGTCTCCTCAGTCTTTAGTCTGCCTTGTTCTCTTATTTGCTGTCTGCATTGCTTATTTCTGTTTCCCTGAGTACTTCTCACAGCTCTCTTAGCTCATTTGTGTTTTAATCTTCCTGATTTGTCTACAGCCCTGGTTGCTGTAATCTCGGCAGGTCACTGTGCAGTCTGCATGTTTCTTACTCCGTGGCTGTTTGCTGCCATCAGCACATTTGATCGTGGTTGAATTTACATCAAAGAAGCACCTGACAAAGAAGCAGACCTGATAATAGGCTCTGGTTTCTTCTCAGCAACCCAAACAGGTAGATGCGAACAAGGGAGCTCTGCTGGGATCACAGGGGAGTTCGTGCTCTACTTTCAGCATGGCTTGCTTTGCTCTCCTGCCTGATGGAGCCTGGCAGACCCTGCTGCTGCTGCGGGCTCCCCCAAAGAGAGCTGCCACTGGAAAAGAGGAAAGCAAGGCAAAGGAAGGCCTTTCCTCCTGTAAAACAAACGCATGGGAAATCCTAATTAGCTGGAGAGAGGGGGGAGGAGAAGATGCTTTGGCTGTTGCTATTGTAGCTGCAGAAGTGCAGCTCGCAGATTACAGCTGCAGCCATGGTGTGATTGTTCCCTGCTTCTTCAGGGTTGCTCGAAGAATAGGCTGATAAATTCACCACTAGCTTCTCTAGCAGAACACTTCAGCTGAAGTGTCTAAATAGGGTCTTTGTGTTCGCTTTTGTACAGTTTATACTCCCCAAACCATTTTCCCCGCCTAGAGCTGGCTGTGAGCAACTGATTATCTTTTTTAAATAATGGTCGTGCAGTTACATGTGGTCACAGGTACAAAATGGTTGGTATGTAACAATGTCTGCCTCCAATTCCAGGATTCTCTGAGACACCCGATGCCCTTCAGGTGCCCTTCAGAGACCTCTGTGCCTTAGGAAGAGGTGCTGGGTAGGAGCTAACATTGCACTGCTGGGTCAGCCTGCTCGGTGGGGATCTCTGCATTGCTACGGGTTGGCGTAGCAATCTAGAGATCAAGTCCCCCGTTTCTGGGTTAACCACAGTCAAAAACCACACTTAAAATGTGCTTTTCCTCGGTTATTCTGGGTGATAAACTCAGTATAAAATGAAGCTATTGAAAACAGATTGCCTTAACCCTTTTCAGCAGAGCATGATTCCCCGGTAACAGAAAGTTATCTGTGGGTGGCACAGGGCTGTCCTGGAGTGCCAGGTTGCCTGTTCACTCCTGCACAACAGGGACTCGCGGTGCCCAGAACGCTCTCCAGCTCTCCCAATGCAGCCTGCATCCTGCTGCAAGAACGGAGTCCCAGCACACAGCGATGCTCAGCAGCTCCTGTCTCCACACACCTGAGGTGAAGGCCTTCAGCACTCACAGCCAAGCAGCCTCTGTCCCCCTGCACTGCAGCCAGGTCTGTTTTTTCCCCCCATCCCTCCCTGAGCACACAGCAACTCAGCCGGCCCCGCTCTCCTTCCCTGCTCCCCATGGGGACCTGCTGAGGTTCCCATTGCACCCACGGTGGCAGCCCTGCTGCGGGGAGCGAGGCAGAAGGTCACGGCAGGAGCACGGGGCGTGGGAGGGGAGGCAGGAGCAGGGCTGTGGCAGCAGGCTGCGACTTGCTGCCTCTCCGAGCTCATCCCCAGCGCCGCGCTGGGAGCCGTCCCTCCTGCCTAGCGCGTTTTGCTCCCGTTCTCCCCCACCCCTTTGCCTAGGATTACACGGTGCTGGGGTGTCTGCTCTCGGGTGTGGGACCGAAAACTGGTCAGACCGACCCGCAGCAGATGATTCACCGGCTGCAGTTCGGCCCTCGCTTTGTTCCCATGGCGTCTGTTGGCAGCTGGCAATTTTTACAGCCGTGCTTGTTGTCATCCTGCATGGTGCTGTGCCAGGAGACCCCGCTGGGCAGCAGGGACTTGTTGCAGCCGCCCTCCTTTCTGCAGGCAGTCCTGGGGGTCCCGGTGACCTGATCTGTGGTGTCCGGGCTTTCTGGAACCCATTTTGAGGGCAGAGGAGATTGCATTGGAGTTACCCTGAACAAATAGGGCCGGTTTGAAAGCACTGCGGTGCTGGAGGACACAGCTATGGCTTTACCTGAGGAAAGGAAGATGTTCTGGTTCTCGTGGAGAGCTGCAGGGCAGGTGTCCTCCAACAGAGGAAAGGTGCCCTCAGCCCTGAGATCAGAGCTCGCTCCCTGCTGAGGGCTGTGCTGAGAAACGACCATTGCGATGTTGGTACAATCTCCTAGCAAGCTTGCAGGGCTTCAAGGCCTTTTTTCCTCTAACAAATGCAGGCCTTGGCGCAGGCACAAAATCCGTGTCATCCCCGCTCGCACGGGGAAGGGAGGCGTAAAGGCAGCACGTAGAGAGGGCTGTGTGCCAAGCTGCAGGAGGAGAGGGGAGGAGCGGGGGAGGAAGCCCAGTGAATGGGGGGAAAAGGAGAGGAAGCACGAGGGGAAACGGTCAGGAGAAAGCTGCATGAGGTGGGCAGTGATGGCGGGGAAGAATGGAAGGAAATCCTTGCAGAAACGGGCGATTTAACGCCTGCTCCTGTTGGCTTGGTGACGCGCCTTCCCCTGGCAGCCTCTCCAGGTTCTGAGAGGAGTCGGTGGGTTTTTGGGATGAGTACTTTGGGACAGCGAAGATGGGCAGAAAGCCCTGCGGCCACAGCTGTGTCCTTGTTCCTTCTCGCCTGCTTTGTAGGGGCGTCCAGGGGAGACAAAAGGAGAGGAGCTCTGGAAGCAGAGCTGCCCGGAGAGGAGACGCGGGATGTGCACAGGCACGAGGAGGGCAGCCCGCAGCCCCCAGCCCTGGAGCCAGAGGAGCTCCACGACGCATTACGTGTGGCTTTAGGTTTTCCCCCTGCGCGGTGTCTTGCCGGCTGCGTTTCAGCCCCGTCCGCGCATTCCCGAGCCGGGTCCGCGTCTGCCGGGGGGGAGGGAGGAGAGGGGGGGCGGATCCCGAGGACTGACCGCGGTGCCTGCTGCACGTCGGGCCGAAGGGCTGAGGGCTCCCGGCTGCGGCCGCCTGCGGGGCCGCACGAGGCGGTGCGGAAGGTATCGCTCGCTTCCCGCTGGGATTTCATGCCCTCGACGGAAGCGCGTGCCGCGCGTTAAAGGCGGCCCGATCCCGATCCCTGCCCGCTGCTCCTCTGCCCAGCCGGCCGTGCCTTTTTGCGAAGGGAAAGGAAAATAGCCGGCGTTTATTTTAATCGTTTATTGTATAATATAAAACTACAAAAGTAAGACTGCTCATTTCCATGTACGTTTGTCCAATTGTTTTTGATTACAGCCCATACCTACATGTGAATACAGTAATCTGGTTTCAGATGTATATGTCTGTAATATTGCATAGAAAAGGCACAGCTCTAAGGTCTGTGGGAGGGGGAAGGGGAAGTACAGCCTTTTTTTCTTTTTTTTTTGTCTTTTTCTTTTTTTATTCGACACTAACAAGCCCTGTTCAAACACCCATGCATTGAACATGTCACACTATTTACACCTTTTCCAGAATCTTGGCCTTTACGGACGCCTGTATGCATCAGGTGGGAGTTGAAGGGGGTTGTATCAGCGATTGTATTGTAAGAGGATCCAGAATTGCATTAGGTTTGGTTGGGTTTTTTTTTTTTAATTTTTTTTTTTTTTTTTTTTTCAGGAAAAGAAAAAGTGCTTAAAAAGAAACCCCCAAAAAAACGAATTTATTGAAAAACGTTCAGTCTTGTTAATGAACAGAAGCACTGAAAGCAACTTGCACAGAAGCAGGATACCAAAACCTGATGGGGTGGGGGGAACCCAAGCAGCTGCCCCTGGTGCCAGCTCACCGTGTGCCAGGGCAGCGAATGCCTGTGCGATGGGCCGGGGCTGCTCACTGTAACTGCCCCAACAGCCAGCTGTGCCTTCGTCACATTGGTGTTCACCAACCCAGGCTGTTATCATGCAGCACTGAGAGGGGAGGAAAGAAAAAAAAACCTCTCCTGAAGTCCAAATTTCTTCTTACAGTGTTTTGTTTTGTTTTGTCTTGCAGATTTCCAGCAACCGGACCCATATTAGAAAGAGTGAGGGGGGGAAAAAAATGTCCTGTGACCCATCCCTGTCCTGCCTGCAACTCCATTGGTTTGCTCTGAATCTGGCTCCCATACCCTTGTTCATACAGATTTACATTCCTACAAGAGAATACATTCCTACCATACATTCTGTACATGTTACAATCCAGATGTTGTTAGCTTCACAATAAAATAAATATATTTACAGAAGGAAGGAAAAAAAAAAAAAAGAATAAATAATTTATGAAAAAAAAAAAAAGAAAAAAAAAAAAAAAAGAAACTTCAAATCCAAAGCTCTTTTATTCTGCTCCCCTCTTGTCACTTCATTGCACATTAATGTCACTCTCCGTGCCTGGCACAGGGCTCCTGCTTGTTGGGACCTGGGCTGCAGTGCTGCCTTGTGCGGGGTGAGGTGTAGTTGGTGCTCATCCCCTCTTCTGAGCACAAAACTGCAGCGAGCTGCGCCTGAGCAACGGCACAGCGCTCCCCAAACAGCATCTATGCGAACTTCTGCCTAACATATGGTGTTTGTTTGGCCGTGTAAATAACCCCCAAAAAACAAGGGCAGCTCCGGCGTGCTCCCAAGTGGTTTTTCACCACGGTGATGCGAGCGCGAGGCGCGTCGTGGGGTGAGATGGCTGCTGGTGCTGCGTGCCTCCAGGTCTGTGCAGCGGGCACCGCTGCGTCCCCAGCGCTGCTCTGAGAGGGGCTGAGCTGCTACGGGGGGCTGCAGCTGGGCGAGGGCCCTCCTGCTGCCGTGGTCCCTGCGCTGTGCTTGCTCAGCACCTGCGGTGGAAGCGATCACCTACGTGTCGAGTCCGCCGGATCCGTCAGCATCGCTGAGTTTGGTTCGGAAATAAAGGAAAGCAAACCCTCCTCAGGCCAGCTGCCCGCGGCCCCGCTCCGCAGGCGGAGGAACGCAGGGGCGGCCGGTGATCGGACGCGGTGCCTTTTGCTTCCGTCAGGAGTTCCTTCATTGCAAAACGCGTTTGCCTCTACGCTGTCTGCGTGCAGATCTATGCTCTAGCTACCTATCTCTACGCTAATAAATACACGTGGCCTGGTTTAAAGTGCCAATTTATAGAAAGCCGCCTCCTTCCGAGGCGAGCGAGACCCAATTTCATCCATGACAGGAAGGGAGCAGAGCTGACTGAATATTGCCAAATGACGTCAAACATAATTTAAAATTTCTTAAATAAATATAAAAGTTATTCCTAAAGAAGCCATAGGCATGTCAACAATATAGGTTGTAACCGGCGCTCAACAGCTAAAGTACCATCAGAAAACTAAAATGCCACAGCGACTTCAGCAACAGGCATGATACATTGCAAACGTTTTGTCTTTAAATTAAATGTACACCACGACGAACCCAGAGAATGCAATCGGTGCGGTAATGAGAAGACTTGTCAGGTGTGCCGGGGGGTCGGGACCATGCATAGAAAGCTGTGTCTATTTGTTGTAAAACAGGTCTATAAAGTGTAAAGCAGGTAACGCAGTCGATACGAGAAACCAACCCTATACGAGATGCCGAGCGATGTAACGCGACTGGCTCCAGTTTCAACAGCAATGGATACGAAAGCGAGTCCGTCCAGTGCAGGTAAGAGATGAGCTTCACTGCAGTAATACTGAAGTTGCCTTTTTCAGCACTTAGCACAGTGAGGTGGGGCGAGGAAAGGAGAGGTGCTCCAAGAAAGGGCCCGCGGGTGCTGCTGGCACGGAGCGGCGGCACCGACCCCTCCGGAGCCAAGGGGGGAAGGAGAGCAGCACCGCCGGGTGCAGTTCCACAGCTGGTTCCTGCCGACCGCTCCGTGTTGGACGAGGACATGGCTCTGAGTTGGGGGATCACAGTAGTGCGCAGTGGGTGCAGCAGGGAGCGGACGCTGGCGGGGCTCCTGCAGAAGCAGCTGCCAGCCCTTTCTTAAAGCACTTGGTTTGTTTTGTTTGCATTCAGGGAAACCGACCGCAGGCTTATTTGATCTAATTTTCTCTTTGCACCATACACATATAAAACGTTACAACTCTGTATAAAAGTACAAGTGGTTCTTGTACATCTGAATTATGCAGGAACTATGTGAGCAAATCCTATCAAAATAGCTATTTTTTTTTTTTTCCGTGTGTATAAACAGCATTTGTTTTTAGAAAAAACAATATCATAAACTGCAGAATCTGTACAAAAATATAAAATAAATTTGGGCAGCAGTTTCTGAACAGCCATGTAAATGCAACACTTAAAGAGGAGCGGGTTAATGCCTCCAAAAGGCTGAATTGCTGAGTCAACCTCTACAGGGCTAAAATGGTATTGAGATTATCTAAATAATAATTCTTTTGTTTTTTTTTTTAACCTCTCGCAATAAAACTTATAGAAAAAATAGACAAATATGCACATGCAATTTACAGCTTTCCCCAACATAATCCTTGTGCTTAGCTTGTACAATTTCTTTTTTTTTTTTCTGTAATAACACAACATTGTCTACAATACGTATTCTTTCCTCTACCGGATATTCGGTCTTCCTTGAGGAACCACTTGGAAAAAAATACATTAGAAGTGGTCGTACATGGATGAAGGCACTCCAACTCTGCTTGAAGCAAAAACTAGTGTGATCCTTTTCTTTTCCAAAAAGGCAAGCAAGGACGCATGCACAGTGCTGTGAATCGGGTGGGAGGGACGATGGAAATACTACCGAGTGTATATACTGGTACTTAAACGAAAAACATAAAATAAAAAGAGAGAGAGAGAGAGAGCTGCTCTATTTCTACGCTTTAAGACCCAACAAGCACCTCCATGATGTGATCCAGTTCTGTGAGGTCCATTTTGAAAGGCTGATTTGGAGTTACTGGCTGGCTGCTGTACGGCGCCAGCGTCTTTAGGAGCTCGTCCGCCGAGACGGGCGCCATTTTGGAGGCAGCCCCCGCGGCCGACGTGCAGGGGTCAAAATCATACATGGACGTGTCAATGTCAGCGAACAGAATGTCATCCAGGGTCAAGTCTGTGAGGAAACCTGTGGAAGTCGTGATCTCGAAGTTGCCAGGGAGCGGCTCCATGAGTTTGGACTCGGCCGTTCTGCTCTCCGCGACGCCCTCGGGCTTGGGAACGCTGGACTCGCAGGGGTGGGCTTTGGAGTCACCGGCGGCTGATTCGGCTGCTACTGCTACTGCCTCTGCGGAGGTAGGTGCGGGACAGAGCTCCTCGATTTCATCCAAGGCTGAGGAGAAGCTGTCCTTGACTGGCTGGAGAGCAGGAGGTGGTAGTTTCGTCGGACCGTCGTGCTGGACGGTCGGGGAAGTGCAAAAAGTGTCGTCCTCGAGCAAAGAGGCCGGGGTGAGGCAGGACTCCAGGGGCGTAGTGCTTACCAAGTCAGTGGGGAGCAGGGACGGGGAGGCGAGGTGGCTGAAGGCCGGCTGGGCCTCGCGGAAGTTGTCGCTGAGAGGGTCGGCGGGCTGCGACGCGGTCACAAACACGGGCCTCAAGCTGCCTTCTTGTTTGAGTTCTTCCTGGATTCGCCTCAGCATGTTGTTAATTAAAACTGTCTTTTGCAAGCTTGGCTCGGTTAATGGCCTGTGGTTATAAAGTTTCATAAGGGAAATGTTGAAGATAGTCTGACGCTGTAAGGTGTACGACACCTTAGAGGGACCGTCAGTAGGAGACACCACTTTGCCTTCCAACCCATCTTCATGCTCGTCAAACTTCCGCTTTCCTCCTTTCCCCAACATATATCTGAAAGGAAGGAGAAGGCACTGATGAAGACAGCGAAGCTGAAATCCGCTCTCCTTTTCCACCCAAGCTGTTACCCAATCAATCCCTGGGCCCCGTCCAGGTGTGGGCAGCCCGGACAAACCGTGCCCTCCTCGTCAGCCTGAGCACACAGAGCTGCCTGCTTAAAACTCACCCTTTGCTCACAGTGGGGAAGCAGAAGCAACCTGAACTCCGTGCTCCGTCATTTTTAAGAGTGGCTATGCCGGCAAATCCTAAGCAGGAACTAGCGCAGCACCTGGAAAACTCCAGCCCCTGTGTACCTGGTGGCAGGTTTTCCCCTGGCACATGTGACAGAGCGTGTGGTCCCACGTATCTGCAACCTACAGACTCTGTTAAATGCACCTTAGCATTTGCTGACTGCTGCGGGAGCACTGCTGGGCACAGAAACACGGCACGCTCTTCTTGCAAGTCATTTCCCTTTTCGTTCGAAGCTGTGTTCATGGGGGGAAGGGGAACGAGGCTCAAGCAGCCATGCACTGAGGGAGTCCTCAGGGAACAGAGAGACCTCAGTGAAGTCTGGGAATTGAGCTTCTCGGATAGGTGCATCTCTGACCTCATGGGTTTATTTAAATGACTGCATACGGCCTACATGTCTGGAGGAGGAAATGCAGGTATTTCCTTCATCGCAGAATTAGACAAATTACAGACAAAGAAGAAGAGCCGCCGGGTCATTTAGCCTGATGGCCAAGTTAATTCTGTGCAAGCTTTGCTGCCGCAGTGGGGGCCCCAGAGCCAGGCAGTGCAGTGCATGGGGTGTGGGGACACGGGCACCTCCATCACAGAGCCCTCCAGGTGCAGGGCAGCCATGGGGCACCCAGCTGAGGCACAGCCCCAGCCCCACGCTGGGGGCAGGCCCGTGGAAGGAAGGCTGCACGGCACAGGGCTCAGTGGGCACCGCTGCCTGCTGCAGCGTGGGAGGGCTGTGCTGGTGGGGGCAGGAAATGCTGTCACACGGCAGCTGAGATCCTCTCCTCAGCCCCTCCTTCACCACCTCCAGACGGGCTTCCCAGAGGCCCCGGGTGGCTTCTCTTCTCCCAAATCAAAGCACGTTCCGTGCTCAGGATGGTGACAGGCATAGCCCCATGTTGTGCATCTGACCAGGAGGGGACTGGAGAACCAGGAGCTTCATTACACAGCTGCCTCCCAGCTCTCATACAAAGGCACAACATGCCTTCCTTATTGGAGCACCACTCTCAGTTCCCCCAGCAGGACCCATGCCTACAGAATGACTGAGCCTGGCGGGTGTGAGGCGTTTGGTCACTGCAACCCAGTCAGACAAGCAGACAGCACTGCTAAGGACATGCAGACAGCCACAGGAACGTCTGCGGAGCACCGAAAAGTGAAGAGCCCTCACAAAATGGGAGAGAGGGGAAGGGGCAAAAAAAGTCGGGGTTTCGATGGAAAAAGGGACGAGGTTCAGAAAGCATTTGCTGGGATGCAAAATCCCAAATCAGATTGGGTGAAGTGAGCCTTTTTCTGGTTAAAAATAAGTCCCGAACCCAGATCATTTTCTAGCATATTATGCAATTAAAAAAAGCAAGGCGGGGGGAGGGAGCAGCGCGGCGGAGCTGAGGAACAGGCAGGCTGCGATCCAAGCGCCTTGGCCAGCTCCCAGCAGTCCCCGCGCCTGGAATCTCGGGTGAGCAAAACCTCTGAAATGTAGCACTACTGCCGGGCTCTGGTTTTTCTCCGCTCCCTGCTGTCACTTCCACGGCCTACTCCAGAGCCACGCACGTGTGCCGGGGCTGCTGGGGAGGATCTCCTGTTCGAACGTTCACGGCCAACACGCCGCCTGTGACTTCCGACAAACACGGCAAGAACGGCAGCTGGAGGCCCGCGCGAATCCCAGGTCCTACGGGGCTCCAGCACACGCTAAAGGAGCCGTGGGTCACGAAGAGGGCCGGCAGCTTCCCACCCCTTCCTCCTCTCTCCACCCCTGAAAAAAGACAGACTCTGTCCTACAGACATACCGACGTTCCATCCGCAACGTCCTATCTATTTAAAGAGAGATTTGTTAATGGCTCGGGGACTGCGAGAGTTTTGCAGCTTGTCAGGCTGCGCGAGGAATGTATGAAAATATTCATTGCACAAAGCCAACCTTTTTCCCCAGGATAAAGAAAACGCCATTGCGGTGGCCGTGCTCTGCTCCCTACGTCGGTTACGGGATGGTATCATCGGGGACACATCTCTGAAGAGCCCCAATGAGTCGGCTGCTGCCGCGCGCGCCCAAGATGGAGGTGCTGGTACAGCTGGACATTTTCTAAGCCGGCCAACAGCGATGGGATCATCATTAGTAAACACAACGATAAGCTCCCTACGACGTGTTCCAGGAAGCTCAGAAATGATTCAAGGTTTCCTGTACGTATGACTGTCACGCTTTCACATCTCACTCGATCTTCACGTAGCTTAGCTCAGAGCTTGTCCTTTCAAAAGACAAAACGGACCAGGAGAACTCAAAACTTAACCTCCAGCGCAGTTTTCAGTGCTCTTCTCCCCAGAAAAGCTCTCTAAAAAAACATTTAACTATTAAAGGCACAAAGCAGGTCTGCAGCCCGAGCAGGAGGGTTTTATTCTCCCAAATGGGGGCTCAGACGAATTCCACTGCGCTCCCAGCTTTGTAGAGTTCTACTTTATTCCCTTCTTCTCCAGCATGCAAATGGGAATTGTAAAAACATTTTCCTCCAGCTTCCATAAATCACTTTACTCACTCCAAGCGAAGCAAGGAGGCCGTATCTTTTCAGACCAAGTGATGCAAGTAAGAACAGACATGCTTTGAGCCCTGCAAGCTTTTCTCTGGATCTCTGTAATTGTGCAGTTTCGGACTGCCTGTTTATTCTTTACAGTTCAAACCACCTCCTCCTACCAGCAGTTTCATGCCTACGCTAGAGAGATCCCTTTTGTACATCTTAAGGCATCACACGCCATAAAAACAAGCTGCAAGCTCAAACATCTCCAACAAAACTCTCACTGCTAAACCTCTCCAGCCAGAGCTCCTGCCAGGAGAACGAAGGCACTGAACTTACAGAGCTGGCTGGGTAAAGACTGGGGTGAGAAGAGACCGGATTGCACCCTTCCAAGCATGGGACGTCAGAGTCCTACGGAACAGGGACAGGGGTTTGGTACACAAGGTAGTTTTGAATGTTATTGGGGTGTGTGGAACTCGAAAGCTGAAGAAAGGCCATGGAAAAAAATGAATTTATCCAGAGAAGGGGGGTGGGAAAGGACTTGGAGATTTTCCCCAACATTATCCACCAGTTGGCCCCAGAGTTGGAAGATCCAGACCCAGAAGCTGAACCATTGTTGCTGAGAAAGATGCAGTTTGCTTTTTTGCCCATTTAGGGTGATCGCACGTGCCTCAGAGCCAGAGAAATGCTAGCATTGTTTGGGAGCTGGCTTCTCTTAATTGAAAAACAAAAGTCATATAGACATATTTTTCATTTGCGTGTCATTCAGTGTCCTTCCATTGGTGCTCTTCAGACTGAGCTGGGAGGAAATACGGTTGGGGCTCAGCAGAAGAGATCATCAGCTTGGATCAACTGCACAGAAAAAAGCTTGCGTGATGCCTGCCTGCTGACAGCCCTGGGCTCTGCAAGAAGAGGGTTGCACACATCGAGGCAGAGATGCTGCATGCAGCAGTTTACTCCATTAGTCCTTGTTACTGCTGGGCTGTTTCTAAAGAAGTCGTTATTAATTGAGAATTTGGCACAGGGATGCACTGGATATATTGGGGAAAAACGAAGAGAAGAAAAGAAAAACAAAAGAGGGAAAGGTGATCGTTAACGTTAACTCACAAAGGTTTTTAACAGCTTTGTTTGAAATGCCTCTCAAGGCTGAGGGCTCTTCTTGGAAGTCACTTCCACAGCCCACAAGAGCCCTGGCTCACTGGGGCACACGAGAAGGAAGACAAAGAAAGAGGAAATGGGCACCGGGAGAGACAGAGTCTTCAAGAAGTTGCTCTTCCACTCACATTGGTGTCACCCTGTCAGCCAGCCCAGAGGACAAGCAGGTGAATTTGGCAAGGCTTGCTGTTAGAACCAGCAGCACACTGCTCACAGAGGTGAACGCACCCAACTGCGGAGCCCACAGGCAGCCAATCTCCCCATGTGTGGAGCACGGAGCATCATTTCCTTCTCCTCCATCCCTTGCTCCTCATCCTTGAGGGCTGCGCTGGCTGAATCCTGGCCTGATGGTAGTCAATGAGAGTTTTGTTACAGCCTTCAGCAGGATCAGGATTTGGCACCGGGAGCTGCAGGACCGAAATAAAAAGGTCTTTTGTGCCAACTGGGTTGGACTGGCATGATGAGGGCCGGCTCCTCAGTGCTAGCAGAGGTGTGCGCGCCCCGCAGATATCACTGAGCTGCCCAGCCCAGCCTCAGGGAGCACCTGAACCCACAGCCAGCTCCCACGGCTTCCAAGCATCCATCCTGGAGAGCTGAGGAGGCAGAGCAGTACTTCCACCCACCCCTCAGTCTCAATGCTGATCTTTAAATCCTGGCACGGCAGCATCCCAGGGAGCTGTACAGCACGTACCATGCAGCAGCACACGGCTACACTCAGCGTGCTGCAGCTGGCTCATACTTTGTGCACTGACGGGGCTTTGGTGTGGGTGGGGTTTCTTTTTTGTTTGTTTGTTTGGTTTGGGGTTTTTTTTGCAAGGCTGCTTCTCAGGACCCGATGCAGATTTTACTTGTTTGAGTTGAATGCGCCTGCGCTGCCTGGCTGAAGGGAGGGCTCCTGACGAGTGCTGCTGGGTAAGGATCTGTTCTAACAGCAGAGGTGAGCAGAAGACACAAAGGCCAACCCTATGCGAGAGAGCCGCACTGGGCTTTGTGCCCCTCCAGAACCACGCTCTCTCATCTGCGGGGGTTGTTTTCCCCAACACACGCATTTTATATTAATTCTGGATGGGTTTTTGTTTTGTTTCTTGAACAGAGCGAGGTTTAATAAGCACTTACAAAACT